TATGATAAACAAAATTATTAGTGTAGAAACTCAAACCAAAATTAAACACACTGCTTTTTTAGCATGTTTCTTCAAATTAAGGAATAAGGACACAAGCTTGTTAAGAAATCATATACTTGTCATTAAAATGTCTCACCATGCTTACATGTGAAAATGGGATTACATCTTCTTTTTTTCTTTTTTTTTTTAGTCCCTTTTTATATATCAATTATGTGAATTTTACATTTCTTTTGCTTGAAACAATCTAAGAATAAAAATAGTTTAAATTAAGTCTTGATCTCTTGCTCCCTATGAAGCAAAAAAAATAATCCACACTTTCTATATAAGCCGTTAGATTAAATCTAACGGTCATTTTTCAAACCCACCTATGACCTTTCCTTTAAACTCAAAACCACTCTTATCCTATTTTTAGTTTCTATATTTAATTTTACCATTACCACCTACCGTAACAATAAAAGGTAATTATCAAAATAAAAATAAAAATCTTTGAAAAAAATAATAATACCAGTATGTTTTATTAATAAATTTGTTTTTATTTAGATGTTTCTTTGAAAGAAAAATAATATCCGTATCTTTCAATTTTGGAACAATATTATAGCATTTTTCTAATAAACATGTTGTTGTTCTCAGTGTAAGTAAATTAATATACTTCTCTAGTATAAGTAAATTTATCAACAAATATACTGTATTGTTGCATTTTGGAATATCGAATTGATTCGTTGGAATTGAAATTGAAGAAAATTTCATTTAAAGTTTGAAAAAAAGTTCTTTCTATTTCAATTTGAAGTTGGGGATTTGGTGAAATTCATTATTGAATCTGTAAATTTGTGAGTTTGATTATTAGATGATGATAATGTACTGACTATGGTGGGATTATAGAATCCACCTTAGAAACGACCAGGTAACCCAAAAAAAATGAGTGAAGCTTTTCTCACGACCTAATTCATGGAGAGTAATCATTTGTTCATACTTTTGTCCATAGATTCAAATTCAGCCACGCACGAAAAAATGGAAAGAGAGTTAAATCGAGCCATCAATCTATCCTAACCACCAGATATAAAGCTCCCACTCAAAGGTTTTTATTTTTATTTTGATAATTATTTTTTATTGTTATAGTAGATAATAATGGTAAAATTAAATAAAGAAACTAAAAATAGAATGAGAGTGGTTTTGTGTTAAAAGAAAATGTCATAGGTGGGTTTGAAAAATGGCCGTTAGATTTAATCTAATGGTCTATATAAAAAGTGTAAATTAATTTTCTTCCTCCATGAGAAATAAGAGATCAGGACTCAAGAGCTAATATATATATATATATATATAATCATAGAAACTTTGTCTTGTTTACTTTACCAACTATATAGAAGCTTTGTCTTGTTTACTTTACCAACTAAATTGAACACTTCTAATTGTTAATTAATCAGCAATAACTCATGATACTTGTAGAAAATTTTACCTACTAATTGGTTGGCATTCATCTTTCAAGTGAATAATTTGTTGTTGAGTTCTGAAATCTGATCTTTGTACTTGTATGAATAAAGAATAATACTAAATAATGGAAGAAATAAATAAAGACAGTCCTCGACCAGGGTTTAAGTATTTGGGTGTATCAGCTTTTATGTATGTACAATGATTTCAAATTCTACAATATGCACTAGCTGATAGATACTGCATAGGCCAAACTTCATATATTCAATTTTGTAAATTTTTTTGGAGGGATTTTGGTAATTTTTGTACTTGTATTGTTACTCTGATACGAGGTTATTTATTTATTTTGAACTATCTGTATCTGCTGCTATTTTGATCATTATGGTGAAACCCTTGAACGTAACCTAAATTTTGAATGAACCAAGTAAAATATGTGTCTTCTTAATGTATGTGTTTGATCTTTTTTTTGTACTTTCTGTTTAATTTCGCAACACTAATAACAATCAAAGAGTCATGGATACTTATCAAATAGGCAATAGTCAAGTTGTTACAAACCTGTGATTTATAAAAGAGAGTTGAGGTATTGGAGCCTAAAAACAAAAATAATGATAAATTAAAATAAATAAATAAAATCATGTGGACAACTTTGGGATGAGAGTCAACAAGAAATTTTTTTTTTCTCTTTTATTTTTTAAAATTTATTTATTTATTTTTGTGTTTCTAAGTTTGGTTGTTAGGTTTGGAGGGCCTGTGGTTTGCATTTAACTCTACCATCTGGCATTAGTTTGGAGGGTTCTGTCATTTGCATTTAACTCTACCATCTTAGTAAAGGACACTGAGGCTACTGACCATAACCATCACGCTTGACTTTGAGCCATATAATGATAGGTCTCAAGTCTCAACACTCAATGCTCATCAAATGCAATTCATAATACTCACGCCAAAATTTTCAAAATGAAGTTGAAAACCTTTAAAGTACAAGAGGATCCGAGGCCTAAATTTATGAGAATTTATTCCATAATTTGGAATTATATTATTTCGGTTAATTACAATATAATTCGCGAATAAGAATTTTAATAAAATTAACGTACTTATTTATGTATTCAATTGTGATCATCGGCCGAGTATAGTCGAAAATGATGTAAAAAAATTCCTCAAATTTAGTGGGACTTACTGTAGGACTTCAAATATCTGCATTTCACTGTTACAGATAAGGGACAAGTACTAGGCCTACCCCCCAAGAGAAGGGTTCTTAACTTTATTTGATCAACATTTATACCAATATGGTACTTTGGTAGTACCACCAGCCAACCTTATTTTGTGCAGCCCTTTTGGCGCGCACATTTGTGATAGATACCGAATCCAATGGCTGTGTTTGAGTGGTCTGATGAGACTAGGTAGGCGCCACTGGTCGGCGTTGTGTCCCTTAAGTGCCCAAAATGCTCTGAAAGTCATCAACTGTGTGTCACTATTGCTTTCTCAGTATTTACTGCTAGTAGTAGACTAGTAATAGAAGTAAACTCGTGAAGTTTACAAATGGCATTACTAGTAGATTCTATTTATCTGGTGATTGTTACCCATGCAAGGCTTCTCTAGCGTCGAAAAGGATCTTGTCTTTACACATTAGTTCAGGTGATATATATTCATTCTAAACTATATGTGATCGTGTGTCTTCTTAGTTCTTATCACAATAAATTTTTTATAAATTTGTGGATATAGTCCAGATTTTGAGTGAATTATATAAATCTGTATATATATATATATATATATTTTGTATTCTTGTCCTATTTTTCTGTTAATTTTCACAACAAACTACTTTTTTATTTTTATTTTTATTTTATAAGTAGAGATGGGAACTACTAGGGTGACCACGAATCGGATTAGACATGAATTCTAATCCAATCCGCTCACAACGAATTGGGGGATTTTGAATCTGCCACCAATCCGTTAGCCCACGGATCGGATCCGTAAAATAACGGATCGAATCAGATCCAATTCGCAAATTTAATTTTCCAAAATATTCCATTTTCATTTTTCAAGATTGTATCAAGATTCCCCCTGACATACCATGCGCCACCAGTTACATCCATTGACGGTTCGAACTCTGTTGCCAGATAGAGCTTTCTCCCTTGCTTTGGATGTTCACCACCTCTTTTATTAGCTTCAGGGCCAGGAGCAACTTCACCACTTTATCAACCTCTTTGTCAGGGAGATTTGTTTCTCATTTCAACTCTCCTTTCCAGATTCCCATATCTTCTTTACCTTTGATCGGATTTAATATTTTACCCTCAGGTGTTTGAGCAGAACTTGAGTCTTCTCTTTTCCTTTTAACGGCTGCTTGTGATCGGCTCATTCTTAATATTATATATGTATATATATTTTACGGATTGTCCACGGATTAGCCACTGATCGGATCGGATTTTTGACTAGCTAATCCGTGATCCGATCCGCAAGTTACAGATTCAAAATTTTTTAATCCGCCACTAATCCATGGGTTTAGCAAACCAGTTCAATTCGATCCGTACGAATCGGATCGGATTCGCGGATTTTTTAGCCGGCCCTGGGAACTACTTATAAAAGAAGTCTTAAAAGAATAATATATCTTTTGATCTTTTTGTAGGCCCTGGAAATAATTTTTTAAGTGCCTGAATCATTCCAATATATCAATTTTTAATATGTGAATGATGAAATTAGTTGCCATTTTAAAGGATGATCTCTAGTAGTGAATCTATATGCTGAAAGCGAACTGATATAGACATAAAGATTATATTGCCACCATACTACCCACTCAAGCACTCCAACTTTATGAACTACCTTTTGCTAATTTCAATCACTAGGCATGGCCATCCTACAACAAAATTAAAGAGTATCCTATTGGTTTGCATCCACCTTGGGATGTCCCAAAATAAGGGTTTTAATTTTCTTTTTGGAATGTCTCTTCAAATTGTCTTCAATTTTGAAAAATGGAGTAATAATATAATATAATAAATGTTTAAATTTTGTTGAGTTTTGCTTTGTGATCTTCATAAAGATCAATGCATTCTTTAACAAAGTTGGGTCCGGTATGTAGTTCTTTGTTCCGGATGTGGAGAAAAGATAGGAAATAACAGGAAAAAATGAGATGAGAGAAAAGAGTTTCATCAGAAGGGAAGGAAAAAAGAGAGAAAACAAGTCAAGCTATTATAAAAAAATTAAATTATTACTATCCTAAATTACACAAACAGCAGGATATATTTAATTACTACTATCCTAAATTATACAAACAGCAGGATATATTTAATTACTACTATCCTATTGGTTTTAAGAGTATGTTTCAATTAGATTTCCAAAACCTTCCCAGAGTAACACAAAATGAAACTCTACAATCACAACTGAACATAAAACTACTACGGAGTATTTGTCAAGGAAGGTGCAGCAGTAAGCAGATTGTTTGAACATATTTTCACTAAGGTGTATGGCATCAACCACAAGATACTCCAGAAAATAAATGGCAGCATTAACAACAAATATTGCAAGCACCATCAACAGATCAACAGAACATTTTAACAACAGCACTACATGGGGAAATCCCGAGATTAGCAGCAGTAACCAAATCATAAGTACATTAGAATTGAAGTCAAAACAATTTTTTAGCTGCAACTCTTGTGCATTTGCCCGTGTTCTATAAAATTCTAACATTTTGAATTTTCTAACAAAAAAAAAAAAGTACTAACGATTGATCAAATCACTACATGCTTCAACTGTGCTTTACACTGTAACCTTGATCTCTGATTCTCTATCCATGGGATACTAATGATGGACGGACTACATAAATTTCTCATCTCGGTAAATACAGTCGTGGAACATGCTATCACCTCCAACTACCATTGTCCGAAACGAGACAAACTAGGGCTTAATATCTTAAAATCCAAACATACCTAGTTCACTGGCTTTCTCCTTTTCAAATGTCTCAAAGTACTGATATATGATTGTAACCGCAAGCAGAATGCCAGTCCCTGAGCCAATAGCTCCCATGAAATCTGCCAACACTGTCAATGCACCAATGCACATTCCCCCGAAGGCAGCCGCAGTTGGTATGTAGCGGTTCAATTCCTTCGGTAAATTCGAATCACGATGTCCAGGCATCACCATTTGTTGCTCCTGCAGAAGTATCATGGATGATTAAATAATCAGATTTCAAAAAGTCATTTCTAATAATTGTAAACAACTCATGTCCACATTTTTTCTGTTGGCTAAGCCATGTCCACGTTTTGCTATTCATAATTAAAGTAAATAAAGAACAGCTGATGCCAGTTTAGTACTGCAAAGTCAACAACTACCTCCATTTCACTTGGAAACAGTTGATGCTACTATAATGTAAAGCATGAATTCTCCTATTCAATCCAATTGGAATTTAGAGCATACTGTATCTCAGATCGATCATATGCTTGCAACAAAGAATGTGTAACTAAAACGAATAAGTTATTTGGTTCTAGATAAGTCAGGACTTAAACCAACAACCATCCAGTTCGAGAGGTAAAAGAGATACTACTAGGTCACAGCCCTTAATGGTCAAGTGAATTGAAATCGCACTTGTGAGCTGTGACATAATGTGAAAAGCAAAAACTAACGATCTCAACAAGCATTACCTTAAGCTGTTTGGCCACATCTTTGGCAGAAGATCCAGAAACTTCAATCCAAGTCTTTGAGAACAGCGCACACGCTGACAGCATAAACACTAGATAGAAAAGAGCGTGGAAGGGATTGGCTGCCATATCTGCCAAGCTGATATGATCACATTAATAAAGAAAAACTGGGCATCAGTTACAGCAGAGAGTGGAGAAAAGAAAGCCCAGGGACTACCTAGTTCAAGAAACATTTGAATGCATCCAAATATGGAAGGAGAAAAAATCAAATGGCCAGAAATGGAGGTAGAAATAAAAAAGAAAGCTTTATTACCTTGATGGTGCAGTAACATAATAAGCAAGACCACCAACTGGGACGGAATGACCTGAATATTCAGATTCCTTCCACTTCCCCAGCAAATTCACCAAGAAATTTCCACTATACCTCCTGTGGAGCAACTGTATATAACGAAAATGGCATTATTTTGTTGGCAACAGTGAGGAAAAGTAAAATGCTTCAACTTCACCCATACATATAAGGCTCTATTACCTGGGAGATGAAATAAAGGTTCGTAACAAGGGCAGACTGGAGAATGATGGGCATGTTGGAAGTATAGAATAGCTTAATTGGGTAAGAGCCCTGTTGTCCACGTGCATTTTTTGATCTAACAGGCAAGACCACACGAAAACCTTGGAAGTAGATGACAATTAAGAAGATCAAGACCGTAGCAAGCAGATTTGTTACATTTGGAAGATTCTGCCGGTAAAAAGCCTCCCGAAGAGCACGAACCTTGTCTGTCCTAGTTATCAACAGATGGAACAAAGCAATAACAGCACCTTCAAATTCAGCTCCACGCCCACTGTTTATCGTTGTGGGGCTAAATGCTTTCCAGATAATGCTCTCACTGGAGGGCAAGCAAAAGTTTAGGATTAAACCTCCAGAATACAACAACAAAAACTAGAATAGAATACAAATCATTAGCTTACCAGATATTGGTTGCAATGAATAGGGAAATCCCAGATCCTAGACCATATCCCTTTTGGAGAAGCTCATCTAAGCATATGACAATTATACCAGCAAAGCAAAGTTGAACAATAATGAGAATAGCATTTCCAACACCAAGCTGGTCGACACTCCCATACATCCCCGACAAAACATATGCAACAGCCTCACCAACAGCAATTAGGATTCCCAACAACTTCTGTGCACCATTTCTGGGGAAAGATGGCAAAGTAAAATCAGCATCACATATGATTCAGCACCAAAGGACAAAGATGAATTCTGCCCTTCATCAAACACAGCAAAAGATGCACATGCAACTTATATATAGATTACACACGCAGATTCATGAACTACAATCATACAAAAGATATAGCATACTAAATAATTTTTGGGCAGAGAAACCATCTTAAAGCACCAAAAAGTTTCACTTTTCTGCACAAACACTAGTTTTCATTACATCTATATTGATAGAATCGAGCAATGGGAATAGTCCCCAAAATTTCTGATTGGAATTCGTTCCAATGAATTATGCAAACTATGGACAATCAGCAATCATTTCATTTACATTTCAGCCCTTTAGCATCCCATTGACAAGTCAAGAATCATTAAATTCACCAAAAAGGTTTAATGATCTTACGCTATTCAAAAAGAAGAAGAAGAAGAAGAAGAAAGGATGAGCACGATAGGGGGATTAAGGGAAAAAAAATATGTGCTCCAAAAGGTTTTTATTAATTGCAGTAGCTTGGACCAAACAGCCACATAAGTAAACTAAATGAATGAAGCTACTCACAGGAGAGCACGATCCTCACGCACACTGTTGTCCACTTCGATGATCTTTGACCCAGCCAGGAGTTGCATCACCAGTCCAGATGTCACAATGGGGGTAATACCAAGCTCCATAACTGTCCCACGGTTTGAGGCAAGGATAACACGCATCCAATAGAAAGGGTCAGCTCCTGTTGTAGAGTGTATGCCATATAGAGGGAGTTGACTGCAGACCAGAAAGATGAACAGAGAGATAACGGTGTATATGACCTTCTCTCTGAATGGAACTTTCCTGTCAGCATTTTGAACTTCTGGCAGAAATGAAAGAAATGGTCTGACCAGATGCAGCACTCTAAATCCTCCTCCCATAATAATCAGTCAGCACAAAATCACTTCAACCTGCTTTCAGCCAGCCATTCACAAAGACACAACCATCAATATAGCATGAATTTGTAAAGCAGATCAACAACAAATATGATATCAAATTCTATAACATGAGAGAACTCACTTTCACATACAACATGGGTGAACAAACAATCATTCATTGTTATATACGAGAAGACTTGTATTTATTCAGGGAAAAAATATATATATACTTAACATGCATCTAATTTTGAGTCAACTAAATCATTTCCACCTCCAAAATCATTTGCCATAGATTTCATTCAACATATGGCAAACCCTACAGCATCAAACATATTAGCATCGTCAATTCAATACATGGGTATTTAAGTTTAAAAGCAATGCCATGGATGAGTGTAAACATAAACTACGAAAAATACAGTATTACACATCCATGGACAAATGAAAATGATGGTGCATTACAAATATTATTGAACAAAAAAGGTTGTATATAAACTACAAAAAACACAGTATAACATATTACAAAATTTATATCACTGAATAGTTCTCGGGCACTCCAAGTAGAATTGATTTCAGCATCGCACAAATATAGGATATACCATCCCAAATTTACACTAAACACACAAATTTACAGTTGCATATATTCATGTATGCATTTGTTGTTGACACAGATAGTGCAACATATAGACTTTGTTTAAATCCATTAAATGATCAAATTAAATATGAAGTATTCCCTAAGCTCAATATGATTGGCAGGTTATGCAGGATGTCAACGTTTTTTTGTCTCGGATCTTGCGTTATTTCAAAACAGGACAATCAACTTTAGCTGAAGCAACTAAGCTAAATTTTAACCAAAGAAGCACAAGGCCGAGAGATCCATATTATTTATTTCTCATCAACCAAACGAAGACTAAGGAGAAAACAAGATCTAGCGATCTTCAAAGAAAGTAAATCCAATTTCAATTAAATCAAGTTCAAAATTTAAGAGAAGTGAAAATTAAAACCAATCAATCTGATCATGCAAGTAATTTGACCGCAAATCCATCCGATTTATTTCAAAACAGCTCAAATATTCACAGATCATAGAATATATTTATACACAGGACTACGTAATACATATAAATACACACGCACAAAAGGTTGAATTGAGAATGAAGTGTGAAGATGAGTGACTTACATACACAGTTGGAGTCGGTAGATCTAAAACCCTAGAGTCTGAAAGTTGTGAGAGAACGAAGCATAAACGTAAAGGATTATGAATATGTGACCACGGACGTGCCGAGCCCGTCTTTGGCCATGACTTTTCCGAATAATTCCAATAATATGGATATTATTTTCTACTCCTAAAAAAAAAGTGTTTAACAAAATATTTTTAAGAAGTAAAAAAATATTTATTTACCGATTGATTTTTGTTCGGGTAATTATTGGGTTTCACGCACTAAAACGAGACGTAGAATGAATAAAATATCTATTGTGCATATCATTTGTTTTACGTTTATTATTATTATTTTTTTTCCGGAAAGTTTACTCTTATTCTTAATATCGCCTGTTTGAACAAATATTACGAAGAAATCAACAAATCAAAATTAACATATGAATATATATATATATATAGACACACATATATACATACATACACATACATATATAGAGATAAGATCGCTCAGTTCAGCGGGATAATCGACACGTAAGCTTCTCTGAATAGAGAAACCTGCATTCTGGTCTGAGTCAACATGAACAGACTCAGGCATGTTTTCGTACCTGGAGTATTAATTTTAATCTATCAGTAAATTATTTTATTATGAAGGATATAGAATATGTAATTTAAAATAGCCTCAATAGTCTTCACTTATTTATTCTTCTTTGTTTGGAAGGATAAAAATTTGTGGAGGAAAAAAGATGATTAATGCATCCTATTATTCTTGTTCTCGTTGTCTATACTTTACCGCATATTTTTCATTCACCCATTTTCTTTCATTCCTATCGAACGGACTCATGTAAAATTTAATTATTCGTGTCAAGCATTAATTATAAATAAATATGAATCCCAAATCATAGAATTTTATAATGCATAAACAAATAGTTAAATATATATACCTCTAATTGCAAATCTGGTAGAGCAGAAACCGATTCTCTCTATTAGTTTTTTACACACATAAATATTATACATGTTGTTTTCATGTACATACTTGTTGAGAATATGCACTTTTATAAAAACAGAGAGAAAATAGGAAAACACTTCCTTAATAATTAATTACCAAAAAATTAATTTATAAATGGACCAACTAATATAATATTAATGTGATATTTATTTATTGAATCACTAATTAATAGTCCAAATCATACAACACAATTAATAAATTACCACTCAACCTTATAAAAACTACGCTTGGTTTAGACTTAGTTCAATAGGTTTATATTTTGGATGAATCGAACTTCCATATAAATTGCAACAAAGATCGTGGTGATGCCATGCTTGATTGATGAAAAGATAGTGGAGAAATGAGTAATAAAGATTATATTTCTCATAGGGCTCATTTGGTTAGATAAAATTAGCAAAAAAATGAAAATAATCGAAAAATTTTGTTTCTCGAGAAACTTGTTAAGTTATATTTTAAATTCCTATTATACCATAATTATCACTTGGGTTCCTTTATTTATTTATTTTTCCCTTTTTGACTTTTTCTTCCTTCTTGAGAGACATTTTTTTTCCAAACACAAATGAACTCATGAAATTGGGGTGATCTTATTTTAAGCATTTTTTTTTATATCTATTTTTATTGCTTTATTCTCTTTTTTTTTGCTTTTTTTTCCCCTTCTAAATACGTATATACGTATAAAATATTATGGTGGGTATTTTTTAAGTGCATTATATTAATTTACAATATGTATATATACATATCAACTAGGTTTTTTAATTTGGATGCTAGAGTTATTATACGTTTTAGAGAATATATACGCTGCTTAAAAAAAATAATACAAAATATTCTATAGTTATATAATTCTAAGTGAATTAAAAAAGAAAACTATCGTAAACTTGGTTGTTATATGTAAAATTCTATTGGTTTTAATTATTCTAATATAAACAAACATACAGTGTAACAATTATAATTTTATTTAATTTCATCAAAGTCCTTACAATTACTATATAAATTGTAATGTCCAAATTATATATATATAAATATTTTTTAGTAACAAAAATCAGGTGACTTGGTATCTCATACAAGTTCAGAATATTATTATCAACAACAAAATTTGATGCATGAATTAATTTTACTCAAATTTATTTGTATTTTTAGTATTTAAAATTATAAGGGCAATTTTGACAAGTACAATCATTTTCTTTTCTCTTTCATTCTATCAAAACTAACAACATAATATTTTCTCACAACTTCAAAAATTTCATACTAACCAAATGCACCATGGAAACTTAATTTTATTTTATTTCGCTTTCACTTTTCACCATTTATTTCCACCTAGCCAAACAGACCCACAGGGAAAGGGAAAAAGCAGAGAAACCAAGGAGGCTAAATCACCTTTTAAGAAGCCTGTTCATTTTTTACCAATTAAAAATTGGACAAAAGAAAGGAGGAAATTAAATAATAATTAACTCAAAAAAGGTAATATAATATGGAGTATTAATTTTAATCTTTACTTATTTATTAAATACCTTATCCATCTCAAATTAAATTAAGTGTAGTTTTTGAAAACTGTGACTCACTAGTAAATACTTATTGAATCGCCGTTTTAAACACACTCAATTTGAGATTAAGGGAGTAACTCATTAAATCTAAGTATTCTCACAGGCGTTATGAGGGTATAATAGTAAAAAATGTAAAAATTCTCTTACATAATGTGTTACTCGATTTATCATTTATAATATCTCCCAAAAAAAAAAAAAAAAAAGTAAAAACAGGCTCCCAATTTCCAAAATGCACATGGATAGGGTTCTAACTTCTCGGAAATTACTAGCCCTAGATTCGACGTGTCCACAAATGACAAGGGTAACACCGAAATTCTGTGAAACTGTGGGCCTCATCAGCACTACCGAACCCCAACCACAGGTAGAATTTTACAGAAACTTGAATGACACCCGATGACACCAGAAAGAAAGAGTGGACTCTCCGCCGGCGATCCCATTACTCTCTCTCTCTCTTTAGATTCTCTCTCTAAAACTCCGGAAGGAAGCTTCTCATACTCCGAACGACTAGCTATATTTATAATGTTTATATAGCTAAAACAGCTGTATTGTAGTATATATATATATATGAATATATAGAGTGTGTGTTCTAAGCACGAAAAAGGGTATTCAAAGCGAACCAAATCCTCACATCGTAGCTTCTAATATTCTCAATCAATCGTCTCGATCTTCCGATCAAATCTAACTGCAGTCACTGGAGACGTAATCGCCACAAAGTGCCTAATTGCGTGACAGTATGGGTTGTACGGGATCTTCACTTGCCAAAGGAGATGGTCAGATTCTGATCTTTCCGGTTTTCCTGTTCTGCCATTTGATGCTTATGTTTGTATCTATTATACAGATACACATGTTGAATTTGGTTTTTTTCGATTTGTTAGTTATGTTTTATGTTTTATGTTCTCTGTACATTACTCGCTTGTAATGCATCTAATTTGTGTGGTTTCACACATGATGATTGATTTCCAAATTGCGTGGTTTTGAAGTCTAATTACTTTGTGAGGTATATGATTGATTTACAAATTGAGTGGTTTTGAAGTCTAATTACTTTGAGAGGTATTCATGAATTGGTTGACATAAGGAGTGTTTTGATTATCTCTATGCAATTATTTACACTCACAGTCTGTAATTATTTACACTCACTTGATCAATTTGTCAGTTGCAAAATGTTAGTGTGGCTTTTAGTTCTTCAATGAATTGGGTTTACTTATTCCATGGAATTTAGTGTTCTTGAAAGTTGCAATATCTTTTTGAATTTTTAGTAGAAAGATTTTGTTGTCAAGCTGCTTTTCATTCGGTTTTGTTCCTAATATTTGCATAAATGACACAACATTCTTATTGAACTGAATAAATATTTCTATTGCTCTGCTAGATCAAATGCTTAATAATGAGGTTGATGCCTTGAATCCTTCATTCGGATACTATTGTAACTTGGGATTGGGGCTGCCCCCCCCCGAACCGTTTATAATACCAAGTTTCTAATATACAGTTTTTTTAATAACGCAATACATACGGCCTCGTAATGATGGTTTCCAAAAAATCATTTAAGAGGAGCCATTGTTCACAGTTGCTGAAAGTAAATCTTGAAATATGTACTTTACAGTGCCACAAGAACAATGGAAAAAAAAGTTCAAACAAACTTCAAAGACTAAACAAATACTATACTAAATCATATCGATTTACTGTTTATAACAAAAATATCGTGTGATGTATTTTTCTCAATTCTCTTCATTTGATCACAGAAAATTCTAAGAAATTACGAAAACCAAAGCATTGGAAGCATTCTGAACCAATAACAAGGACACAACTCAGACAGATGCGCGATGAGTTCTGGGACACTGCTCCACACTATGGTGGCCAAAAAGGTTTATTTTCCATGTTAAAGTATTTTCAGCATCTTTTTAATTATGTTTGTCCATAATATAAGTTACTAATAGTTTTCAACGAAGATTGTACAATTAGTAAGGTTATCGAATCTAAAAACTTTGCACATCAAACTATAGCCTCCTTCCCCAACTATATATATATAGTTCATTCCTCATCTTGTGTGCAGGATTTGATCAAAATGACTTATCATTTCTGTCAATTCAATTTATATCATACTCTCTCTCTCTCTCTCTCTCTCTCTCTCTCGTTGGTAGGTAGTGTAACTTGATCTCAGTTTGTAATATACGTGAGCAGTAAACCAGTCTTGGTCTTGTTCTTAGTTTGCAGTATACATGAGCAACACCTTGCTTGGTAATTTGTTGATATATCATAAAAAGGGTATGTTCATATTATGTGTGATTGTGCAGTATTTGTAAACTCTATATATAAGGCGATGGAATTGCTCTTCTTTTACATGGTTGAAATAGTGCCTCATGAATTAATAGAGATTAAAGAGTGTGCGGTGTGTCATAGCATGAGCTGCCTCCCTCTCCCCCCCTCCCCTCTTTTTTCTTCAGTATTACCTTTCTGAGTTATATATATTTATATGGCAGCAGTGCTAGAAAATTTTGGAGTTTTATGTGGCAAGTAAATGTAGTGGATGTGGCAGTGACAAATATTGTTTTATTGTGGTAATCTAGCAGGAGAAGATGCAAAATTAACTAAATGGTTAGTGGAACAGTAGAGAATGGCAATAGCTACTGGAAGCAGCTTGACATTTTAATTGATGTGAAATCTTAGGTTTTTTGTGTTCCTGCCATTAAAAGAAACTGTATATGGCTGACAGATTTGGATCATCTTGATGCATCTTAGATATGTATGCTTAGATATAATAAAATGGTGCACCAGATAGTTGCCAAATGCCGACAGGAGCACAAGTAAGACGACAGTAATAGGAGATCTAACACATTAGATGCTTCGTATCCTTGAATGCAATCCCACCATGATCTAAATTGTTTGACTTGGATTAGTGTTTGGTTGCTTCAGTTTCCTTTCTGGCCAATGCTGCATCATTTAGAGATTATAGGCAATTGCAACTTAACCAATTTAAGGCGAGATTGCCCACGCTAGGTTCGCGTTCTATTGGGCTCTGCTCAGTTTGCCTCTTTCTTTCTTGGGTTTAGAAAGTCAAACCTGAGTTCGGTTAGGTGTTCCTGAGTAGGCTCAGCTCATGAAACATATTAAGTTTTATATTTTTTAATGTTTTGTTATGTTCTTATACAATAAATAGGGAAAAACTTGTCAAAATTACAAAAAGAAAAAAAAAAAAAACATATAAGATGTATTCACGAGCCAATCCTATTCAAGCTATGTGCTGCGAGCATGAACAAGCCGAGCTCGAACATTCTTTGGGCTCTTACTTATCAAAAACAAAAACATTCTTTGGGCTCTCACCATCTAGCAGACAAGTTGGAGACTCGAGCTCGTCTTGCTGATCTTTTAACGAGCTGAGGCTGAACCATTCATAACGGTTTGCAGGCCTAATTATAGGTATCTTTGCCATTTTTAAAGGCTTACAGTGCCACTAGTAGTTGCGTATGTTATTCCAATTGGTGCTGATCTCCTTTGCCTGTAGATTTTACTTGATTCTGCAAAAACAAATCCTTATAGAAAAGTTGTATAGAATTGGTTTTAACCAAGAAGTAGATTCACGTGTATACTGATATTCATGCTGTATGCAAAAGTCTCTTCACATTGAGCTCTATTAGGTAGCTGGAAAAGTTAAATGATCCTTTCACTAGCTGAATGGTATTGTTACATCATATACAAAAAGGGCAGCAAAGATCATTAAATTTCAGAAGTATGCTTAGCATGTCGACCCGTATTAGTAATTGGTATATTTGACCCTAAATACTAGCTATATTCCCTTCATACTAAAGAAGAAAGGTGGAAGTGTGGAACAATTGCCTAGATTTCCATGAAGAAGGAAGATGAGGGAATAATGGGGGATGCTTAAGTAGTGGAAACATGGCATCATATCGAAAAGATTACTGATCGTGATGAGATTTTATGCATGCAATATCCAAAGAAAAGAAGTCTTGAGAAAATAAATGCCATGTATACATCTATATGAAGCCTCTGTTTGCGCACATGAAAGCTTTGCTTGCAATGGTAATTGTTGATGTCTTGTGAGGCGATCTTCATATTTTAACTTCTTGTATTCTGCAACTTGTAAACCCAATGTCTGCTGTCTTCCTAAATTTTCACTGTGGCACTGTAAGAAGAAATGCTACTTGCATACAATTCATTTATCATACCATCTCCTGTTGTAGACTTCTGTTTAGCATATCTGATCTTTTCATTCGGAGAAGTGACAGAGCTAGTTAACTATCAATGAGCTTTTGAAAGAATCAAGGGTCATTTTTTTCCCTTTTTTTATTTTATTTTTTTGTATAAAACTTAACTTTCTGTTCTTTAATTCATGTTCTTGCAGGAGTCAACAGTTATATGTAGGTATATATCTTTGTATCTTTATTCCTATGGAGGAATTTTTTCAGAGTTCTTGGAGCTTTTTTGAGATTATGTGGTGCAATTCTAGCCTTATGTATGATGGCAACGTTTTCCTTCTCCTCCTATTTCTTTAATTTTTGCACTTTTTTTAAGGCTTTGAAAGCCATGACTAAACACTACTTTATGCTTAGAAATCCTAACTCAAAAGCTTCTTTCATTAGTCAACCATGGCAAGCCAAAAGAACACGGGAACAAAAAATCACTGTTCAATGGTGCTGTCACGGCACCCAAAACGACCTCTAAACTTCCCTCTTTCTTGCCTAAATGAAGTCTCAAACATTTGCCCCTTCTTACACCTTTTGATGGAAAGGAGAAGCCTATTTCTATGCTTAAGTTCTCTATTATTTCAACTCTTTTTTGTTGGGTCTCAGGGAGGGATTATAGATCTATAGAGGAGATTGTTGTTTTTTTGGCCTCTTTGAAGGTTTGACTTTTGAGGCGCCTTTTGGCCCTCGTGTTTCTTTGGGTTCCGCTCCCCTTTTGAGCGTTTTCAATAAAATCTTACTTATCAAAAAAAAAAAAAAAAATCAACAATAAACAGCCCTAAAAGATGTTCTCTGCCCTATATGAATTTTCATTGCATAGTTTGTTAGACTTTTCCTGCTTCAGAATCTTTTGATGACTGTCACCTGAACTCATCATACAAAGTCTTTGTACACCTCAGACTTGTTTCTAGATTTTCTTATGTTAAAAGTTATGTGGATTGCTTTTGTGTCTTCAAATTCTTTTCCTAATTAAACTAATGATGTCTGAAGCCATCAACTCCCCATGGTAGTTCATTTCACTTCGATTTTCTGAAAGATATTTTCATTACCTGGGCAACCAAATTGTAGGTTGTAATGAAATGAAAATCTTGGCCTATTGTAGTATACTGGAGCCAAGAGAATCCCAGTGTTTCCACTCATTTCCAGGTTTTCCATTTATTTTTCCTTTTCTTTTCATTTAAAATCTTCTTCAATCTTAATCTGTTGTAATCATCTGGCTCCAAGACTATGTAGCTGAGCATGAATAATTTATGGCTTGTAATTCATTCAAATCTTTTTGTTGCACAACCTCTGAGATCAAGTCTTTTGCTTACATTCATCCATCTTGAATGCCATCATTTGGAGCATGGTCTTCTTAAATGAAGTGCAGCTGTGTGACTAGAAATTGCATCTTAAAAAAAATATATTTTATTTTCAGTTTTAATATGCCTGCCCCATATGAAATAATTGCTGCTCACATCATTGCCATTCATCCTGTTTCTAAATCCTGTAACCGACCCTCTCTCATCTCACCACTCAGACAAAAGTTTGAAGTATCAGCTACTGAAGTTTACGCAAGTCCAAAGAACTTATGCTGTATACTGATTCACTTTCCGTTTTCCCCAAAATTGGGTAAAATTACTTGGAAACTTGGGTATTTAACATTCATTTGTTATCTTATACATGAAGCAGTTTGCATATAGTATTCCGAAAACTAATGAATCTTTTTTTTTCGTTCTTTATTTTCTTTCTCTTTTGGGTTTTATGGATCCTAATAGAAGTTACTTGAAGGTTTACTGATGCATTCAATTATTTTATTGTATATTATCTCATGATGAAAAGGTACTTTTGTGGACTTGTGTGGGGTACCTATTGGGACTTTTTGATTTTTTTAATTATTATTTTATTCACATTTTATTTTTATTTTTTTTCGGACTTTTAGCAAAAGGTAACTGGAGTTACAAGAATTTATAACACTAAAAACACATTTATTAAAATAAAAATAAAAAATTTCTTTGGAACTGATACTTAATTGCTACATCTTAGGTTACATAAATTGATCTAGAAAAAGAAATGAAAATCTTTTACAGGGTAGCCTAAGCTTTCTTGCTGTTTTACTCCCAGTAGTATTCTCTATTGTTTTTTCTCTACTATTAAAGACGATCTTGGTTGTTTCCAATGCAAGTAACTTTGTATATTAGGGTTAGCAGATGAAAGGCAAATATCTCAAAAACAAATATTGCACTCTTATCAGAAATTTGGGATGCACTCCGAGCTGCTGTTGAGGCTGATTTAACCCTTGCACAAGCAATTGTGGAGAGTGCTGGCATAATTGTTCAAATTCCTGACATGACGATTTGCTACGATGAGAGAGGTACCTTAACCATTTTGCACCTTTTTACATATCTCTGACTCTCTACTCCATCATTCTGTTCAACTTTTGTTATTTTATTGTAGGTGCAAAATATGAGTTACCCAAGTACGTCTTGAGCGAGCCGACTAATTTGATCCATGACAGTTGACAATGAAAAGATGGCAGTAGACAGTGCTTTATTGAGACTGTAAATCATGTAAATTTGCTTCACTGTCCTTTTCTCCAAAATGCAACTAGTCGTTCTGCTTGATACTCATCTTTTGTTTATTCATTTCCAAATGTTCATGCCAGGTTTTTGTAATTTAATAAAGAACTGCTACTTCTTATCTGGTGGATATTTGGGATATCATCCAACTGGAATTTGTAGCATAATGTTTCTTGTCAATGAATATACTGTAGTTGTGTATTCCAATAGTAGTGCTTTATTCATTTGTGCCAAAGGAACAAGTCAAACATTCTTAATATTATTTGCGCATTTCGGTTTATTTATTTGTAAAGGTGAGGTTAGTGGAGTAAGTCTTGCAACCATGCATCTGATTTGGTTTGACTGCCTGGATGCTATTTCGAATATGTTGCTTTGTTAGCTAGAATTGAGATAAAAAAAGAAACACTGGATAATGTGTTGATGCAAGTGATTCTTCTGAGAAACCTAATGAAAATGAAAGCTGGTTGAGAAACAGGAAATGAAAAGCATGAAACACTACTGAAAAGGACCTTGGTGTTCAAAGAAAAAAAAAATCGTAAATATGTTTGAATGTGCTAGCTTTTGCTTTATATCATATACTTGGTTTCTGGATAGTTGACTCGTAAGGTTTATCTCATAGTTGTAGGGGCATAGTGGCCAAATAGGCACAGTTGATGGATTTTGCAGGGTGGCTTTATTAGGGCGGTTTCTGTTGCATTTTTTAATAATTTTTTTTTTTTAAATGCATTGCTGCCACATAAGTTGATGCGTGGAGTTGGGGCATTATATTAGTCTAGTAAAATTGTTTGTTTCTCTAAACAATGAAGCTCTTTGAGTTTGGAAATGATCAGGATTAAAGGTTTTTGGAGATGATGAAGATTGAAGGTTTTACATTTTAGAATATTTGGGGCTTATTTGAATTCTCATGGTGTCAATTCATAGAACGATAGAAATGTTACAGAGATGGTGTATGTTTATGGATTTATTTTAAAATTCAAAACACAGACATTGTTGTTTATTGGAGTCTCTCATAGTCTCTTATACCTTCAAAACAATTAAAAGTTATAAATTGGTGTCATGATCGGCACATGTTCTAGGTTCACTGAGAAACTTGGGCAATACCATTTTTTGTGTATGATTGTATAGGCCTTCTGGTGGTGCCACCGATCGCCACCATATCACTCTTCTGTTGGCGGTGGTGATTCCATCGGTCCTATGTATCCCTTGCAGATTACATCTGTCGAATTGTGCATTCAGGCTATCATACTATCATCATGTCCATTACCATTGTTTTAGATAGAAGAAATTGTCATTTGGATCAGTTTCCTTCTTTTGATTCGCATTTGTGGGCGTAAAGTAGAAGAAATTAGGAAGATTTCTTGTCAGCATTTGGATAGTGGCACTGTGATGAGTTTTACTTGCTAACACAGGAGTTGGTTCTGCAATTTAGAGGTATCACTGTGAATTCAGACTTCAGTGATCACCATAACCATAACTTACTTCCAGATCACTCATAAGCTGGTCACAACTAAAACAATTAATCTCAGTAATAGATATTGATTCACTTGTATTTTTAAATAATTTGTTGGGGAAGAGACAATGTACCTAACACAGCGACCATTTCACATCCCATGTCAAGAGCACAATCAAGTCATTTGATTTTCGCAGCAAAGCCAACACCCGCTTTATCATTTCAACTCTATTTTAAGAAGTGGGTAGTTTATTTATATTTTTCTTGATTTTTTTTTTTTTTTTTGGTAGGGTTTGACTTAGTACAGTCGCTGAGAGTTGAACTGGCCATCACTAGGTGAGTTGCTGATAGCCTGGTACCCAACTTGGGTTGCAGCTTGTTATAACGCATGTGATTTGGCATATGGAGGGTCTACTTGCAAAAGGCTTCTGTATAAAGACAACTTTGATCTTATGCTTGAGTATTTATCTTTTTTTTTTTTAGGGTTTTAGTATTTATCTTTAGACTCGATTGAGATGGAACGATCGAAGAGTTGAACCTAGATCTGAAACTCGAATAATATGGAAGTGTGAGAGTCGAGTGAGCCATTGAGAGGTATCAACCGTGTTAGTTGTGTGAACGACGGAGAGAGAGAGAGGTATTGACCGTGTGTATTGACCGTGTTAGTAGAATGAATGATGGAGAGGGGTTTTGTATCGACCTAAAAAACTAAGATGAATTGATATTTGAAATCTTTGGTTGAATCATGAGATTTAATTTGCTAATTTGGGAGGTTTGGAATTACAATACAATTCCCAGCCCACGTTTGTAATATCCAAAGAATAAATTTGGAATTGGAGCTCCTAATGTCAATTTCAAAGCTCCAATATAATGTTATGCATAATTTCCAAACTCTAATACATTGATGTCATGTTTGTTTGGCAGCACTAAATTTGGGATTTAAAAATATTTAGTATAAATTTTGAACTAAACTTTCTCTAATTCCAAATTCAAATCACTAATTCAATGAATTCTGATTGACTCACCAAGTTGCACCCGAGTCGAATTACCTTCCTTAATCAAAATGTACCGTAAAAGACATTTGGAAATGACAGCCGCAAAAGTAAATAAATGGTTCAAAAGTAAAAGAAGAGGAACAAAAAACCAAAGAATTGTCTGTTTGGAACTAGACATGGATGAGCTTTTTCAAGGGATAAAAATGATACCTTCCACCATTCGAAGGTCAAAGAGAACATGACTTTATAGGTAGGCATTGTCCCTGTTAGGCTGTTTCATTAGGGAGTTTAGGACAAATGGGCAATGCCAATAATGTCCCGGTTTTGGACTGTCCCACAAACTTTTTGCCACTCGAATGGATTATTTGTAAACTTGATATGGATTTCAACATTTTAAGTGGCTAGGCACTGCTTTTTGGGTCATCATTCATTTTAACATTTTATTTATTTATTTTTATTTATATTTTTATCACTGCTAGTGCTAGATACAATAGGTAGTAATTTTTTTAATCTGCCTGGTTTCAAATTTGGGACCACCAACTGTGTGTGTGTTTGGATTAATGACCAGAGAATCTCTTACCCTCCAATGGTGGTCCTCATGTAGGATTGCTAGAAGTAATTAGGAAAATTTATGATCTTCAATAAGTTCTCTAAAGGAAACTACTAAACAAAATGAAATTAATAAAAATAAGGATGCAATGACGTCAGAATTTGCACAAAATGACTGTTAATTACCCTTTATATGGAAAAAAAAATCCACTAAAGATCGAGGCATAGTGGTATATGAATATATAACATAAAACAAAGACAATAAATGTAGTTCGACAATAAATGTAGTTCCTATCCCTCACACAACTTGGTAGGTAATCTTGGCGTCATTATATAAGTTGATTGCTTATGAAACTTCATCATATATTTGTGTACCTTTTCTTTTTCTCCTTTTTGGATTGGTCTTGTTAACATCAAGCTTCTAGAAATCACTTGAGGTCAGGTATGAATTTTTACAACTGTCAAACGGTTATTTTTAGTTGGTATTTACATACGTGTTAGAAAAATTGTTTGTATTTACCATGAATCGATCCTACTAAATAATTTTATTATTATTTTTTAGTTTAATTTTTGGACATCATTTGTATCAAATTATACCATTACTATCTTCTGCATTGATCAACAGAGTAAGGTCGTCTTTTATATGTGTAACTAAAATGTCTTATGAATTTGGCAATGTTGAATTGGTTTTTTATTGATACTTGAAATCTTCGGATTGTTTTTTTCCTCTTCTTTTAGAAATTGATTTGGATCGATTTGATCAAAACTAACTATTCGTAAAAATAATAAAATGATACTGCTAGCATCATTCCGAAAATAATAATACTACTTGTCTTAAAATTTTTGTTTCTCTTTGAAATTTCAAAACTACCCATTTAAGCTAAAACCATTGAAAATGTTTTTTAAAAACCAAGAATATTTAAAACGTAGAATTAACATTTAAAAAAAATAAAAGAAAAATAAAAGGAATTAATAAATGATAAGTTGCATAAGGGATAAAAAATCCTTCGACTACTCACCTCGTCTTGGAAAATAGATCATAACAACATTACTATTTTACAGGGAGAATTACTTCTTTTGCTTATCAGCACTGTTCATATATGTGTACATATAATAATATATATACACAATTATACATATAGAGAGAGAGAGAGAGAGAGAGTGTGCAGCCTAGTGGTGAAATTTTCGTGTATATAAAGACTTTCTAAATTTCAAACGAACGGACACCGCTCTGTTTGCAATATATGAACAGTTTGTCAGACCCATACCACCTCTGTCTCTCTCTCTCTCTCTAACAATCCCAAGTCTCTCTGTTCTCTCTAAAAATTAAAGAACTCTCCCCCCCGTCTCTCTCTTACAAGTTACAAAGCTCCTCCTTTCTCTCACTTGGCGACTGTCAAAATCTCGCTTACTATTCCCTCCCTATGTACAACTCATTTCACTTTCTCTCTCTACAACACCCATTCTCTGTCTCTTTCCCTGTCTGGGGTATCTCCTATCGTTTTCACGAAAGAAACCCTCCTGAAGTTCATGTGAAAAATTGCAGACACAGAGAGAGACAGAGATTTCATGACGCAACCGGATCACTTGCCTCTGATTCAGGTGATTCCAGTCTTCTCTAACCTCTTTGTTTTTTTCTTTTGGAGTCTCACGATTGAACTCCACCGTTGATTCTCTTTTCCACGTTCTCAAATCAATGATCTAGGGTTAGTTCAGAGATTGAAAAAGATTGCATTTTTGCTCTTATTTGCATGTAGACTTGTAGAGTGTTCTGTTTGTTCTCCCATCCATTGCTTCTTGTGAAGTGGATTTTGATTATGGGCCTTTAAACCTTGAATTTTTATGTTTAATTTCATGGGTTTTGGATTGCTGCTGGTGGGTTTTTGTATCCTAATGATTTGTGTTGAAGGGATGGTACTAGGGGATTTTTCAGGGATCATCTTCTGACTTGATGTTGTTGTTGTTGCATGTGAATTTGAATGCTTTGTTTATGGGTTTGTAATGGGGGGATTTTTGATTGCTTGGAATGGGACAATAATGTTGGATTTTAGACACATTAGTGGGATATCATTGATGGATTTTATTGCAATCATAATGCATATTTGAGAAGATTTGGGATCATTATTGATCAAGAAAATGCAATATCTTCTGATATCTTGCCTTAATGTTCCAAAATTTCCTCTTCTCGGCACATTCATGTCCTGACCATGACCAGGGTTGTTCGAGACCGGATACTCAAAGATGCAAATGGTAACATTAGTGATCATCTACAAAATCATATCCACTTGACAAATTGTATTCACCTAAAGAACCATATGCATAAACATACTCCCATATTGGCCGATAGGTCAATTATGAAGGACCTTGTTCTCCTTCAAAGGTCACGTTCTCTCAGAGATCCTTCTACAAGTCCACCCTCATGGCATTCTCCTTCTCTTGATTTGATTTCTAAAAGAGGCGAAAATGATGTCATGGTGAGTAGTGGGAGAAGGTCACTGGGTATTGAGCATCAGAGAAATGGTAGGGGGTTTTCTGGAAGCTCACTGCTCTTATATAGTCTACCTAGAGAAGCGGTTACTCCCGGTGATGTGAGTAAGCATAATGATGGCATAGCTGCTGTTAGTGACCATTGTAGCAAGAGTAGAGTTCTGGAATGTAGAAGAATTAAGCGAGAAGAGTCGAGTGGAGGGAATTTGGGAACTGATCTTATTGCTGACAATGATGAGCCTCTAAAAGATGGTAATGTTTTGGTCTCTGAACCAAAGGATAAGAAAATGAAACAAAGGGGGATGCATAGAGAAGATGTTTACCTCAAGACACTCTCCAAGCAATTGCACGAGGTTCAAATGGATAGTGATGCTGTAGCATCATCTCACACCCATCTTCATGGACAGCATACCCAAAATGAGAAAACTGGTGAGGAAGCAGAAGGGAGCGTCCGCGAAAACTGCAGTGGACTAAAAAGAATAAAAAGGCGCAAGTTTCGACGTGAGAGTAGAACTCAAGCTGCTATGGCTTCCAGAGATGCTGGGACTCGGAATGAAATTCCTGTTGTCTCTGAGTCATTAGCTCAAGGTTCAACTTGCCCAAAGTATCAGATGGAGGAGGGAGAAGAAGAGTATGCTGATCAGAATGTCACAAGGGCTCCTAGAAATGGGTGTGGTGTCCCTTGGAATTGGTCCAGAATTCATCATAGGGGGAAAAGCTTTCTTGACATTGCTGGGAGGAGTTTGTCTTGTGGTTTGTCTGATCCAGACTTAAAGAAAGGTGCTCCGCTTCCTCGAGGGAGAGGTGTTTCTGATATGCCTGCCCTGTCTGACCGCTCAAGCTCGTTTACTAAATCTGATGTAGAAGCATTGCCTTTACTAGTGGAGGGGTTTGGATCCCAGGGGAGCACTGACAACGCCTGTTGGGTGCATGAGTATTCTGGGGAGTTGGGCATTTTTGCTGATAATCTATTAAAGCATGAAATGGATTCTGACCTTGCTTCAGATGCTAGATCTGGTGATGGACAAAAGTTTAGAGGACATCGCAGTGGTAGGCATCGAAACCTGACTCAGAAATACATGCCAAGGACCTTTCGAGATCTGGTGGGGCAGAACTTGGTAGCACAAGCTCTTTCAAATTCTGTTATGAAGAGGAAGGTTGGGTTGCTTTATGTGTTTTATGGTCCTCATGGCACTGGTAAAACCTCCTGCGCTCGCATATTTGCCAGAGCTTTGAATTGCCAATGTCCTGAGCATCCTAAACCTTGTGGGTATTGCAATTCTTGCACTGCGCATGACATGGGTAAGAGTCGAAATATAAAGGAAATTGCTCCTGTCAGTAATTTTGACTTCCATAGCATTATGAATCTACTTGACAATATGATTGTTTCCCAGCTTCAGTCATACAGAGTGTTTATTTTCAATGATTGTGATACTATGTCTCCTGATTGCTGGAGTGCTATATCCAAGGTCATTGATCGAGCACCCAGGCATGTGGTTTTTCTCCTTGTCAGTTCGAGTCTCAATATTCTGCCTCATATAATCATATCCAGGTGCCAGAAGTTCTTTTTCCCAAAGTTGAAGGATGCAGATATTATCTATACTTTGCAGTGGATTGCCACCAAAGAAAATATAGACATTGACCAGGATGCTCTAAAACTTGTTGCATCCAGATCAGATGGATCTTTGAGGGATGCTGAGATGACTCTTGAACAGTTGAGCTTGCTAGGGCAGAGAATCTCTGTTCCTCTGGTTCAGGAACTGGTATGTTGTCTTTTTATCTACCTAAAAAAAATCTCAGTGATACTATTAAATATTCTTGCTTGGTGTGTTGGATGTTAATACTTGTAGATGTATCAATTCAGAAATTGAGTTTCCTTGGACAAAGGATTCCCATTCCTCTGTTTTGTCTTTCTTTGGGTGGGGGGAATTTCCATTCTTCTGTTGCTAGATAGAGATAACAACCATAATATTGTTCTTGCTGCCTAATCACAATGTTAGTAGACTTTTTTTTTTTAATCATCATCTTACATCAACAATATTTAGTTTTTGAACATTTGTTCTACTGTTTAATTAATGATTTTCCAAGGTGCTGCTCATCCTGCATCTTTGTCTCTCTCTCGGGTTCAGTGAAGTGCCATGCTACATGTCTTTTTGTAACAATAAATTTTAACTGACTAATTCAGAGGGCTTATCATAAGTAATTTCCATCAATTATAGTACATATAAGATTTATTTGAGCCTAACCTATCCCATTGATCATTCAATTGTAGCACACGAGAACCGAAATCAGCAAAGCACTGTTCACGGATACCATTCACAGGCACTTTGCCTCAATATCTTACTCCTTTCTTATGCCTTTACTAACTCCAAAAGATCGTATCTTCTTCAATATTTTAAGTACAAAAACTTATCACTGCCTGTTTCTAATAGTTCTTCCTTGGCGATGTAACATGTCAGTTTCGGTGTATAGTTTGTCAGAGACTGTTTTCCCTAGACTTATCCTGGATTGAATGAGGAGGGTGCACTGCATCTTCTAAGCCTCTTGTTCACAAGAAAGGAAGAGGGAGAAAAAGAGAGTGGAGATCAGAGAGAGGTGAAAAGACAAGTTTCACTCCTTTAAAATATAATACTAAGAGAAGAGAGATACAGATACAAAAAGATAAGAGAAGGGAAGAGGAAGTAGGGGGGAAGACAAAGTTCAAAGCTCTTCCAAGTATGTATATAAAGCCCATGTATTGGCTTAAAAAAATCTAAAACTCGTAGATATGTTTAAAACGGATCCTACCTAACACAGTACCTTAATTTAAGTCAAAACATTATTGATAAAGCCATTCAAAGTCTTAATAAACTGAAAATACAGCAGCATTATTTAGAAAAACTCATAGACTAAAATGTTTAGATACATCAATCAACAAATTGTTGCATCAGTATATTTCTCTATCATCTTGTGTGAACTGTGTACCTCGGCCAAACTTAAAAAGCATTATCTTTCCAAAAGCAGGAACAGTTTTTTTTTTTATTTTAATTGCCCCACCTCAAAGCACACTAACAAGTTCCTCACTGTTATTGCAGCAACAACAAAATTTACAAGCCAAATCTTGGGTTCTGATACCATGTTAGGGCTGCGGAAGTGTGATTACTTCCTGTTTGCAATAATTTCTTTCCCAAGTTTTTGTAATATTTTGAAGTTTTTCCAATTTCAGTTTTGTTTCTTGGAGGAGAAATGTCATACTTGTCTGGTTGAACATCACATAGCTATATGTGATTTTTTTTTTTTTTTTTTTCAAGAAATATTTTTCTAGTATTTCTGGAATTTCCCCTACACTATGAGGTCAATACCTTTTAATTGAAAGATAGTTTCTAATACTGCTTATACATTATGGATACATAAGAAGGTTCATGGGAAATTTTGTAAACTTTTAAGGTTAGTTTCTAATAGTGCTTATGCATTATGTACATATAAGAAGGTTCATGGGAATTTTTGTAAAGTTTTAAGGTATTATTTAAAATTTGTAAAGTTGTAAGGTTAGTTTCTAATAGGGTAAGTTGAGTGAGCTGTTACGAACTTCACTTATACGTGGAATGTCCAAAGAAGCAATTTGACACATCATTTGTAAAGCCATGATCTTTCTAAAAGACTTTCCATTGGCAATATATTCTTTTGGTTATCGCCTATATGTTAGGGGCATTTTGATGTCATAGAGGAAATCTGTTACTCTAGAGTTTTGGTGCATGATAGCACATTTTATAAATCTAATTTACTGTGTTCTTAGTAGCATTTGAATTGTGTTTGTTTATGTATAGGATCGTCTTTTAGGATTCCACGAAGTGATATAATTTGATTTTGAATTAAATGTCTATAGTGGGTTTCCCACCGTGAGAAGGGGGCAGGAGGTTGTTTGTGTTTTAAATGAATGATAAATTTTGGGTTGGTTTGATCTTTTGCCTTCAAATGCTGTGGAAGATTGGGTGGACGACTTTTTCACATGGGAAGTTCAAACATGCCTTACACGCTAAATTCAAATAGTATCTTCAGAACAAATTGGAAAATACTGAATGGGGAGAACTTGTTCATGAAGTTTTGATCTTACCAATCAAGTTTTAACTTCAAAACTAACTCTACTAGTCTTAGTTCTCCTTTAATTGTTTAGTTTTCATTAATTTGATAACCTTTTAATCCTTAACATGCCACTAATAAACTACACATGCATGTATGTAATTTTTTATGATTAGGTGATTACTTATATGATAAGAACATGCCTATCAAAAATAAACAAAGAAAAATATAAAAAAAAAAAAGAAAAGCAAAAATGATAAGAACATATTAATTTCTTTTTAATCATATTTACATTTACGATACATGATACGTTGCATCCAATGTGTTCTATTCGTTTTTGTTTCACCAAATATTTTGTTCTATTGATTGTATAATTTCACATTCTTCAAGAAACTGTGAATTCATTAGACATTCGAGAAAAAAGAGGAGGGACACTAAGGCAAAAGATTGATTGTATTCATCAGTTAAATGAAAAACTTGAAAAGTAAAATGATAGAGAAAATAATAAATAAAACCATTCTCTTTACAGCCCTTAAAGTTCTAATGCATGTGTTCATCAGCTTCATTACATCATAGGGATATGATTCTACACTTTACTTTTAAGAATCTATAAACCACGCAGAGAGCTCAAGATTGAATGCAAAATATAGACCCTGAAATTTGTAACTTGGAATTTATTTTTTAAATCATTATAGCTTTAAGTTATGAAATGCATGTATATGATTGAACTTGTACACACACACACACACACATATATACCAAGTGAACATAGGATAATCTAATTGTTTTATAAAATAACACATTTTTGTTTTATTTACATGTGAGTCAGTACACTGAAAGCAAATTTTTTATTTTAGAAAATAAAGAAATATTCTATTTGTGTTTCATTCTGAAGATTGAATGCTGTCTTTCTTCCTTTGGGGGAAATGATAACAACACCTGCTCCAGCACCCGTGTGCAAATACAGCAAGTCATCTTAATCATTCTTATAGATGAGTTCACTTTCTTTTTCTCTTTTGTGTTAAGTCGGATTGCTCATCCATACGGCTGAGCTCCTTTGCTTTATATTCCTTAGTTAGGTACTTGAGCCATCGAATATTAGAACCCAAGCTCTTAGGCTAATTGAACGCCCACTCGTTTTCGTTTATCATCGATCTAGCCAAATACCCTGGATTTACAGATGGGGGTTTTCAGGTCCTCTACCATTGTATGAATAAGAATTTTGAGCACAAAAAAACAAGGAAAGGAAAAACCCCTTTGAAAGAAAAGAAGCCAACCAGGCTAGCAAATACCCCTTATGCAGATCTTGTACACCAAATTATCAAGTAAACCAGATTTATCCAGCCTCAGCAAGGCTAACTTGTTTAGGGACTCAATTGCCATGGATTCTTGTCCCGCATCGGATTTGGATGGGGAGGGCCTTGGGCATATAAGGTTGGGTGGCTTAAGCTTTTGGGTCGGACTGGGAAGCACCCAGCCCATGACAAATGGTATCAGAGCAGGCCCAATCATTGATCTGATGTCACTCCAAGCGCCCACACGGAGATATCCGGGTCGGGTACTGGGTCCATAGGCAGGGTGGACCAACCGCAATGAGGGCGTTGCGGGTTTGGGTGGGGGAGAATATCATGAATTCTTGTTCCACATCGGATCCGAATGGGGAGGGTTCTTGGGCATATAAGGTTGGGTGTTAGTACCACCTAATAGCTTAAGCTTTTAGGTCGAACCGCGAAGCACCCCGCCCGTGACACCATGTTCATACAGATAGCAACCTCCTTATCACAATCAAGATGGACATATCTGCTAATTTGTTTCATTCCCTTAACAAGTGAGAAGTCAAAACCCAAGAATAAACCAGTTGTAACTTGTAACACCCCATGTTAAATGTGGATGTTCAAGAAAGGAACACAACAAACAGTAATTAGTTTGACTACAACTTCAAAACTAGGTTCAGTCTCAACCAAGCAAAGATTACATTCCTAGCAAGAAGTCATGCCATTTTTACATAGCATATATATTTAGTGGATTGTTGTAGGAGCTGATAAAGCAAAGTTCAACAACCTGTACTTCGTTTGCCAAGTATTTGATACTTTTGGGTATAGTATTGCATTTATTTCAATTTGAGAAAAGAAACTTCAGCATATCATGCATAATCAGATACAATTTCCAATTAGGATACAGAAATCATTGTTTGATTTGCCACCAATCAAATATGATCTTCCTTTATGTTACTATTTTTGTGCAAGTGCTCAGTGTTTTAATGTCTTGAATAATTACTATTTGTCAAAGATAAAGGAAATGCTTTCACATCTGCTTGACATTGACATCTCAATAACTTTTAATTTAAGATGCGTTAAAGGCTGTGGTTGTAACATATGAATTTGCTAAATGATTAATGTATCTTTTTTCCAGGTTGGACTTATCTCTGATGATAAGTTGATAGATCTACTTGATTTAGCATTATCTGCTGACACAGTTAATACTGTGAAGAATTTGAGAGAGATATTGGAACCTGGTATTGAGCCATTAGCTTTGATGTCACAACTTGCTACTATGATAACTGATATTCTTGCTGGTACCTATGATTTTACAAAAGAAGGGCCTAGAAAGAAGTTCTTTCGACAACAAACATGTAAGTCCCAAAATATTTGGTGCACACTTGTTTAATTCACTGGTTTTGATATTATTTTAAAAAAACTTTCATTTAATTACAAGTCACGGTACGGGTGCATATTGGCCTCCTTTTTTGCCAACTGACAGATGGAACGTGTTGGTTTCAGTACCTAAAGAAGATATGGAAAAACTGCGTCAAGCTTTGAAAACATTATCTGAAGCTGAAAAACAACTAAGAATGTCAAATGACAGATTAACATGGCTAACGGCTGCAATGCTGCAACTTGCTCCTGATCAACAGTATATGTTGCCTAGTTCTTCTGCCGACAGTAGTTTCAATCATAGTCCATCTGTCTTAATTAGTGCTGGTGGAAGAGAGAGACCTAGGAAAAGTAATGTTGAGCGAGATGCGATGCCTAGTACTGACAGAGGATTCTCAACAGATGTTAGAATAGAAAACCTTCAAGCTGGAAATTTTAGTGATGTTAATCATAATGGTAAGATAGAAATAATTAGTACAGATAGAAAAAGAAATGCCAGGGCTGGAACACTTCCTGAACAGACATTTAGAGTCTCTACTGATCTGAATAGAATGAGTGGCAGGCCTTTATCAGGTAAAGTTCATAAGGAAATTGAAGACATTTGGCTGGAGGTGCTTGAAAAGATTGAAATAAATGGCATAAAAGAGTTTATGTATCAAGAAGGAAAGCTAATCTCTGTCAGTATTGGTGCAGGTACTTTCTAACACGTGCTATGCCTGTATACTCATGCCGTTAATTGATGCTTTATTGTCATACATTTTGGAATTTTTTTTTTAACATTATGAGATTTTTGTGTCATTTTATGTGGGAATATTTTTAGCTTGTGAAAGTCTGAAGGTTTTCTTGGGGTCAGATTTATTTGTTGAATTGTGTTTTGTGAATAATTGAAATTACTGCTTTTAATTTTATCCCTATTCTTTGGATCCCGCTTGCACAGAATAGGATCCTTATTTCCAATTTTGGTGATTCTAGATTTAGTTTTGGGCTACCTAGCTTGGGAGGTTGAGCATAGAAACACAGTCCTGCCTCACCTTTTATAATTATATATATTTTTTTATTTCAAAATTAAACCTCAATTTCCCCCTGTTAAACACATTTTGTTCTAGGACTAGGAAAATTAAAATTACTCTGTTGCTCGTCAAAAATATATTTGATAGATAAATATAATTTTGAAATACCAAGAACACACTCAGATGGGAATTCAAAATGTACAGGGTTCATCATTATTCTTTAGAGTATTAGAGTATGTGGTGTACCCTGTCCATTATAATTCTTGTTCATTATACATAAAATATACATTACTGGTAACATTGATTTAGTTAATTTTTTTTGTTCAGGATCTAAATTTCAAGGAAAGTAAAGAAAAAAGAGCAAATTCGATTGTCAAAAGTACGGCTATCTCTTAGGGCAGTGGTAAAGCTCAACTTGCCAAGTGTGAGAACTCTGGTTCAAATATGCCACCTTGTACAAATAATACCTACAGTTAAATTTGTACCTAATATATCCCTCCTTGCACCATTCATTAAGGGGGCCAAACTGCGTAATGACTTTATATAGATTGTCAACAAGCAGCTATTCATCTTATTTAATTGGATAATAATATTAGGCTACTTTCTTAAGTGTAGTACATGAGCAAAGAAGTTATGGTACACATGTGAAAACATATGAATCGAAACACTTTGTAATATTTCATTTACTCAAAAGAGGTATGATGAGTCAAAAGAGTTATAAGGACATTCGATCTTTATATTTGGAGTTCCTATAGAACTTTGAAACCAAATATGTCCTTAATTGCCATTACATGATGGTCAAAAAAAGGGGTCATCACGCAATGTGGTTCCATTAATCGAGGGAGTTGGAAGGTGTGATTTGGATAAAACCTAACCTTTGACATCACACGCACCAATTGCCCTCAGTTTTCGAACTCACGTTCTCGTGCTTGACAGCTTGAGCATTTTACCAGTGCACCAAGCAATGGTCTCTAGAATTTACAGAATGGTAAATATAAAATGGAGTTGTGAATGTAGTGAAATGGAGATAGAATGTAACTTTAGCATGATTTGGAAATGGCAAGTGAGGAATATGTCTACTTTCCAAAACCATAAGGACTACACATACTATTTTCCTTAGTTCTACGGTAATCAAGTGAATATAATATCTCTAACATTATATAATAAAAATAACGAGGGATAAAATAATCTTTTTAATTTATAAAAAATTATATGATTAAATTAAGCTTTAGTGGTCTCAAAATTCAAATATTAAATTAATGGTACATAAAGGAAGGAAAAAGAGAAGTGAATATACTAATTAAAAGAAAAATTAGAGTTCTTAAAAGGTTATTAGAAGGATTTTAATTTAATATTTTAGAACCATGTCAATCATCTTTTTAATTACAAAATAAAAGAAAACATATACTGCATCTATATCTTTAAATAAACAAATATGTGTAACCTCTAACCATTCTAATGTATTATTAATAATCTTATAGTCAAGTGAGTTTTAATGCATTTCACTTTCATCTTTTAACTTGTCCCCTGGATTCATTTTTATTAGTCACCTTCTTTGTCATAAAATAGAAGGAGAATATCATTAAATAATGTACATTTGTGATCAAATAATGTACATTTAATGCGTTAATAGTTTTTTTGGTAGGTACACAGACATCCACTTTGTCCCAATTGAAACCCGAACCCTCATACTTCACTTTGTCCCAATTTGTATCAGGAGTTCTTAAAACTTAACAACTTTGTTCAATACACACAAACACACATATGTTATAAGATACCTTAACTCTATAATGAAAAAGAGAGGTAAAGCTATAGTAGGTAGACACACATATATGTAAATGTCCACCTTTCCATTTTTGGCTGTCCCAAAATAAATGTCCCAATTGAAAAGTCAAAGTACTAGTTTTTTTTTGTAACATTACCAATTTAACCTTCTTGCATTGAACTTATAAAAAGTAAACCATCACATCCCCGTGGACTCACTATGGATAGATTTGGTAATTCATTCACTACCAATACAATAAAAAAATAGTAAAAGTCATCCTCTTAAAAAGTTAGATTCCCAAAAAGGGACATTTATTTTGAGACGGAGGGAGTACTATGTAGTGATTGTCCATAACGTATGCATCATCGTCATCATCCTTGCCTTAATCCCATTTGAATGGGGTCGGCCACATGAATTCTCACTCTCCAATATTTTCCATTACACGCCTACTATTTTTAACCCTTTAAAGTAATTTTTAATAACCTCATCCCATATTATTTTTGGTCGCCCTCTCCATCGCTTACCTTTTATTCCAACTAGTCTTCCTCGTTTGGCCGGCGCGTCCATGCTATATGCATGAATAAAATAGCATGGTAGTATATCAAATATTAACAAGTGTTACTATGATAAATCAAATTGAAATATCATTTTGGATATGAATAAACATGTGCGGAGAGTTGCAAGTTACAACACATAATTTGGGCAAACATAAAAGAAAACGAAAAGTCACCTACTGTTGGCTCCAATACAAAATTTCTAATATCATGCTTCCCTCCATGCATGTATGCATACATGCGTCTACATATTTAAGGATTTGGATTGACAATCTCGATACATGGCATTTTACATTTTTGTGATGTTTTCTGTACAGTTAGCCAAATGTTGCTAATAGGAAGTTAGAAAATTTTGTTTTCTCAAATTTGAATACTATTAATTATATTTTTCAGTAATTGATATATTTTTTGACAATTTATTCTACTTGAATTGAGGGTTAACATCTGAGTCTCAACCCAGTCCCTTTTCTGATTTGACAATTGGTCTGATTTTGAAAACATGCATTATGTAGTTATTTAATAATTGACTTATAAATATACTAGTATTAACTTTATCATGGTTGAATGTTACTTATTATGACAGTATTATTATTCTTTAACTATAAAAGTAAATTTGTATCTTCCGGAAATTATAAAATAATAATTATGTGGTTTTAGGAAACAAAAAATTGAATATGGATGAATAAAAGGAATGAAAATTTATAAAAGAAGTTCTATGTAATTTTTTTTTTTTTTTTTTTCCCTAATTGGTACTCACACACACGTCTCTTTTGAGACTTGAACCCCTGACCTCCCTTTGGGGAGGTAAGAGGCTGATACCGCTAGGCCACTGGCCCGTTGGTAGTTCTATGTAATTTTGTTAATAAATTATGTATATAAAGGACTTGAAATGAAAGAATAATAGAAGATTATAAAAAAATAATTTCTTAAGTAAAACTTAGAAATTGGGGGAGAGAGGGGGCATGGGGAGTCCAGGAAATGTATCTGGAAACAATTGAATCCTTCTCCTTTTTTCTTTTCCCTTCTCAGTTTCTGGGTTGGACAAGACTTCTTATTTTTTGAATAGTGAAGTCAGTAAAATATATTTTACTATTATGATAATAATGTAAATGGAAAAGGTCTGAGGAACTTTTTCTGTTGACATTTTTTAAAAGACCTAAATAAACATAAAGAGATGTCACTATAGATAGTTTATTTTACTTAAATTTGAGAATGTGAGCAGGTAAAGCAGTTATAGTAGCCAAGCAAAGTTCTTTGCACTCAAATTGTTGATGTCATTGGCCTGCCACGGAAGTGGTGTGCTTATGGTTTATAAATGGAATGAAGTGTGGTTATATTGATACATGCCATATCCATTGCGTGCACCCCTCCTCTCCCTCCTCCCGCCATGGGGACTTGGGTTTCTTTTCCTTTGGAATGGAGAGTGGGGATGGGGCAGTCAGAACTCAATTCTTTTGGAGTTCAAGTAGTTTAAAACTGGATGAAAACAAATGAAACGTCTAATTTTCAGTTACTACTAAAATTTGAAACCGCTCTCAAGTTAAAGACAAAAAGGCCCCTTGTAACCATTTTGTTCATAGTTTTCTTATGTCGTTCTTCAGTGTAGGCTCATGCAGCAATAAATTCAAAGAGCAAACAGCCATGTACTAGAGAAGACCAAAAATATTTTATTTTCTACACAACAGCTGAAGTATCCTTGCAGCTTCAATTTCCCAAATTAATTCTACATTTAAAATGGTAAAAGTACCAAATTGTGGTGGTCTCTCCTATAATTTCTTCCATTAAATTTTCTCTTCTGGCATTTTCATCTAAGATAGTCAGAGATGTTCTCTTTATTCAGATGTGATCATCACAATCCACCCTCATCCTTAATTCTTCACAATAAGACTGTAAGACAAGCTATCATCTCAGTTAAAGACTAAACTCATCTTTTTTGCCTCCTTTGGGAGTTTATAGCTTCGTAAAGTTACCAAATTATAGATTTTAATTGAATACTTTATTGGAAACTTAGAGAAAAGATACTTTGTCCTAAAGCCAATACTATACTGTACTCAGCTTGGAATTATGTGCCTTGGGATTGGTTCTATTTTGATTTTTACCCTTTTTGTTGTTGGATCCGGCACATTGGTATTTGCTTCTTTATTTTCTGAATGCTTTTTTGTCTTCTTAATACACAAGAACGAAGATACACCTCATTTATGCATTGTCAATCCTATATGTAGGACATCTATTTGTTTGTCACACTGATGGTGTATACTTGACATGCCGATTCACTAGGGTTTTTTTAGGAGAATATCTGCATGTCTGTCTAATTAGTTGATTGCTCTTGCAGCTTCAACTGTTCAGTTGATGTTCAATTCGTATGTGACAGAATCCAAGGCAGAGAAGTATAAGGCGCATATTTTACAAGCATTTGAGTCCGTTCTTGGGTCCCCTGTAACAATTGAAATCATTTGTGGGCCAAGGAAAGACGGTATGGCTGGAACTAATGCACCACTCATTCTACCAGCTTCTCAGAATTGTTCATTTAAGATGTATACAAACCCAGGGTTCATGAACACTAACAGAATGCACATGGCAGGATTTGATGATCTAAGCAAAAGGGTTCCAATGGATACAGATTGTTTAACTCATGCTCAACTGTTGCAGTCTGACTCCCTTGGGGTGGGAACAAGTGAAATTGTTGAAATTATAGCTTCTCCCAGAGAACCAAAAGGTAATGGGCATATTAATAACTGTACACATTCTGATAGAGGAGATTTGGGAAGTAATTCGGTAGGGGAAGCAGCAACTTTACTTAAATCTTCTGTGGCCTCTCTACCAGAAAGGAAATCAAGGGATCAAAGTCAGAGCCAGAGCCTAGTTAGAAGCAATAAGCCCCTTGGACAAGCCATTCAGCTTGGAGAAGGATGTAGACAGCCGAATGTATGGCCAAAACACAAAGCAGAATCTATTGCTGAAAAGCTCGAAAAAGAAAATCTGTACGTATTTTGTTACCATTTTCTTTTCCCGGTCTCTCATATCATTTCTTATTTGTACTTACGTCAAATATGTATATATAGATTGTTGGAATGTTATAAAACTGTGACGATGCTAAAACATTAAATGATAGGGCATGCATAGTTATTCATATGTAAATGATAGATGTAGTGCTAGTGAATTGAGGAGATTTTCCATTTTCCTTTCCAATCTTGATCTATCTTGTTGTGAACAAATTGCATAAGTAATCCCTCTGTCCCACTGAGTATTTTCTTCGAGAAAGCTCATTCTTTATGGAGACTCAAAATGCATTGACCCTATCACTTTTTCATACTGTCTTCGTGCCAAATCATCCATGTGGGCTCCTTAAACAATCTCATGAATGTTTTTTATTTAAAGTTTTATCAGTTCTTGTTTTGCTACACATCCATCTCAACATTCGAATCTTGGCCATGCACATTGAGTATGTTGTTTCTTAGTCATTCATCATTTTGTCCCAGTAAGTATGACTGGTCTACTAATTGTTCATGTTTTATATAATTTGCTTTTCAATTTTAGAGGCATACATCAATCATAAATGACCGAAAGGCCCCTCTGGTTGACCCATCCTATTTTAATTTTATGATTAAATTTTATTATTAATATTGTCTCCGGTTTCGTCCTCTGTGTAAATAATAAAAATGTATGTATTTTGGTACCTTTTGATTTCTGATCTGCAACAAGCCTATTTACCATAAAGGAGTCTTCTTTCCTTTATTTTCAATTATTTTAGTTTGCCTAAACTAGTCATCTTAGTTACCTATAATCATTCGTGGATCTAGTTGTTCCCTACCATCAAATGAGCTACAGTTGATTAAGTTGGTCCTCGAATAACTTTGTATGCTTCCATGAGAAGTCCTGATTGTAGTAAGCAATGTATACAAGTTCCAATTCTTGATTAATTAGTTTTTATTCAAGGGCCTATTTTGGCATGAAAACTACTTGTACACTTCAATTTGTCAGATAGACTTAATCTTTCTTTGGCATGGAGTACATCTGAACTTTGAAAGTGCTCTGATACTTGTTAGTTTTACAGGAGACTGGAACCTAGATCGAGAAGCCTGCTTTGCTGGAAAACGTCTAGAGTATCTCACCCTAAGGTAATGCATGATATTTTATAATGATTTTATAATGAACTTTTGAAGTTCCACTTTCTTAGATTTGTGGGAGTTACGACTGAGTAATTGTATCTTCCTATTGTCCCAGCACCCCCACCCCTCACCCCACCCAAAAGGAAAAAGAAAGTTTTTAGTTGTTTTTTCCTATGTCCTAATGCTGTACAGTTGTAGTGTAATGAGTATGGTCCACTTAGAATTACAAAAAATGAGGGAGCAATATTGGTGGCTGATTAATCATGGAGAACCTCTTGATGCTTAACCATTGGTAGACATCCTCGATACATGAATGTGCATGTCATTTGTTTAATTGGTACTAATTGGGGCAAGATCTAGTGCGTCTGTCGCTGACTATATGCTCTAATAAGCTATTGCTTCCCACGGTTATCAAAGCATGATCTTATGATCCAAAATTGTCAAAGCTATCAGAATCATATAAAAAATAGCTAAGAGGTTGGATCCTAGCGGGATTGCCATGGAGATCATTCAGGTAAATGGTTCAGCAGAATGCCACGGGATCATTTAGGTATATAAAGAATTCAATGATTTGTTTGTTTTTTCTATGTACTGATTTGAAGTGTCCTGCTTTCCACAAAAGAAAAGAAATTAGAAGAACTAGTTTTATGGCTTTTGTCGAGAGTGTTGGTTGTTATTTGATATGTAATTGGTATTTATTAGATTGTGTCAAAGAATTATCTAGGTTAGTTTCATTTAAAAGTTAACTTTGATCTAATGATTTTATTTTTGGAATAAAAAATGTGAATCAAGGATTTCAATCTTAATCTCCCAACGCTATCTTTTGAGCTACTTAAATTTAATTGGGTGAACTTCTATACAATAACGTATTTACATAGATACACTAACATTTACATATGTGTTCAGTATTTCTTTTTTTAATAATATTGTTCTTTGTGTTTTAGACTTGCTTCCTGTTTATTTAAAGAATTTTTATACATATAGTTTGAGTCTTTTTTTCATCATAATGTAGGATCTTACAATCCTAGATCCGATCTTATGGACCGCCATTGATCCGGTATTCTGATCCTAATAACCTTGTTGCTGTTTCAAGCTGTAGCACGGGTCAGACCATAATTGTGACTATGGGTGGATTTGAACATTTAACTAGTGTTTCTTCAGTCTATCATAACAATAGTAACCCTTATCACATGATTTGCAATCGTGCATTTATCTTTCAATATTTCACTTTGGAAGAGCAGCATCAACCTTAACCCTTTCTCAAATAGTTTTTATCTTTTTCCCCCTAATGCTTAATTGCTCATTATTCATCTCTAATACTCTCAAATCATTGTCGTAGCAGTCATCACCATCAATCATTGTTCATATGTCCTACAAGGTGTCCTTTTCAACTGCAACATGTTTTCTAAGGCCTATCATCAATAACTTCCAAGACGTCACAAAAAATTGCTGTAAATCAGTTTCAGTAGCCCCCAAATAGTTGGGACAGACTTTGTTGAACTAGATTAGTTTTTGTTATAGATTTCCAGTATTTAGAATTTTACTAGGGAAATTAAGTAGATTAATTTTCAGTAATAAATTTTAAGTTGTAATTTGTTTTGATCCATTTGAAGGTTTTACTTATGATATTGAATTTGTGCAGTTTTCACACTTGAAAATTAGGACAAGGAAAGGAAAAACTTTGCTGAAATTTGTCTCCTGTGGAAAGTATCTCTCTGCCAAGTCTCCAAGGAAATAGAAGAAATCATAGTAGATGGCTCTGAAGGCTTCTGTGCAGATCTGATTGGACTATTAATATTTACTATTGATTTTTACAGAATCAATTTATCAGCCAAATGCTTTTCATTAATAAAAATATGTTAGAATAGAAGCAATGAAACCTTCATTTACGAACTTCCATTCATTTTCTTGGTAAATTATTTATGTTTAAAGGCTTTTCATCCTTCAAATCCTTCTACTGTAAACTATGCTGTGTTCTGTGCTTTTCTCTTTGATTAGAACAAAGCATACGATTATGACAAGTGCATCCATTTGTGCCTATGAACAGTTGGCGAGACTTATACTTGCCTACCTGGAAAGTTTCTCACTGATAAATCTCTTATATGATACTTGAAAATAACCTTTGATTGCTTTAAAAGTTCATGCAGGGCCTCATTTGGATTATAGGTATATATTGTTGCTCCTTTGTTCACAAAGTCATATCAATCATTTTTTTTTTTTTTCATTTTTTTTTTTACTTTTGTTGATATACTTTACTGAAAAATACGTGATAGAAGACTGATGAAATTTTACATGCTTCAGCAATTGAGCATGTTCTCGGTCGATTTAAGCCTTTTCACGTTCAAAGTAATTGCAGCCTTCTCCTATCATTTGTTTCAAATTGTGATATGTTGGATACTGGAGGCTTTTCGATGTGTTTAATTGATTGACGTGAGTGTCTGCATTCGCTTAGTGTCATTTTGGAGGATTCCAAGCATGTCTACTTCCATTTACTCTTTCTGTGTGGACTGAAGTGTTCTGTTTTTCATTATGTGTTACTGGAGTCATTTCAAAGTTATGCACCAACCACATTGAAATGGCTTCTTGTATTTGTTGAGTGTGCGCAGCGGAATGGTTGATGGTAAACAGATTCAACTTGCTCTTTTATACAATTTTTATTTATTTTAATTTTATCGAAATAAAATTAAAATTAAATCACAAAATAAAAATAAAGTGCAAGTAAAGTAAATAGAGTTTGAGAGATGACACCAGGATTTTATTGAGAAAACCCCAATTGGTAGAATAAACTAATTGTAATATGAAAAATCTTGTTGGACTCTGCAGTCCTGAGATAAACGATTCACTATGTTTGAAACAAAGTATACCGAACTTTGACTCAGTCTCATACCTTATCGTTCTACCAAAAACCAATTGCTGACAATCCCTGGCTTTGCGACTCCCTCGTCCAACAGCTCTCGACCTCGGGCTTACTCTTAATATCTGTAGAAGAGTTGCAGGTAAATCAGACAACACTCCACAAATGCTCTGACCCCTTCAAAGTGTGATCGCTTCACCCTTTTCTTCTAGATCTGAATTTGAAGAAGAACAAATGAATTCTGCTTTTCCGGAATTTTTGAATCTTTAATTATGCTTCAATTCCGATGAGATAGAGAACAACACTACTAAATCACTCTTGTTTTTATGTGTGTGCTTTCAAAAATAAAATCAGAAGAATCAGATTGATTTTCTGAATGAATAAAAAATCTCTCTCAAAGATGGCTCTCTAATAGATCTGAATTTTGTATGCAAAAGCCGTAAATAAACCTAGATAACTATCAAGGTTTATATAGAGTTTTAGAATGTCCTAGTTCCTCTGAAAATATGATAAAATTCGTGCATAAGACTTGGAACAATTCTAGACCAACTAGGAGAGAAATCTAAAACAGGAAACTAAACTTTCCATAGGCTATCAGGACTTTTGAACCTGTTTAAAGAATTGGTAATCGGTTCAAGGATGGCAGAATGTATTTCGAGGCCAGAATTGGACTCTTGAACTTGTTCAAAGAATTGGGAACAGGTTCAAGGATGACATAATGATTTCTAGGCCAAATTCAAATGGCTTGAACCTGTTCTAAGAATCATGAACAGGTTTAAGTCTGCTAGACTTAATTCCTAAAGTTCTAGGTACTATTTTTGGTATATTATGAAACTTACCAAATATAGAATGTGTCCTAACCTTTTTGGATTTCTTCCTAACATGTTGTTATTCATTTTGTGTGATGATCGCACTTATAGCATCTTTGAACAACTTTCCAATTCCAAAAATATATATTTTGTAATTGGCAACTTTTAATTGTCAAAATAAGTTCTAGTCGAGTTATAATTTCAAGTTACGATCAACAGCAACTGAGATATGCTTATATGCTCTATTGTAGAGGGTTCAGAAGAAAGATTATTATAAAGTTGTATGTAACATTTTGGTGGTTTTAAAATTTTAATTCCTTGGGACATTTAGAAGTCATTTTTTTTTTTCCTGGTATTACTTCCAGCACATCTTCAGTGCATGTATGATCATATATCGCTTTTGCTTTCACACACAGAGTTTGGTCTGGTATGAACACCTTGAATCCTGAAATCATGCTTTTAATCATTGACTAGTGTACTTTAATTAGTATTAATATTAATCTTTCTTCGTCAATGGGTTCTTCGTCAATGGGTAAGACTGTAATTAGTCAAGAGCACAGGTAATTCCGTGGTCGGCCGGTTTGAACCCGGAAAGCGATGGAATGAGCTGAATCTGAATCGACTTTTCTGGAGTAGTTTTATTAAACAAATAATCTTGTAATGCACCTTTCATAGTTTTATGCCCTGTTTGGTGCACAAAGAGGAATCCATAGACATAACGTGTTGGGAGAGAGCTTGGTGACCCTACCAAGCAATATATGTGCATATTCATTCATTCATATTCCCGGTTGAGAATGTCAAGAGGATGAGTGGTGGAGCCTATTTTCTACCATTTGAAAGACGATGGGATTCAATTGGAAAATGGAGAAGTGGGTTTTTTTTTTTCTTCCTATTAATGTGTTGAAGAAGTGTGTGTGTATATATATATATATGTATGTATGTGGTGGTCCTGTAACAACCTGGATGGTTGAAATTGATGCGTATCGACAATTGAGTGGTTCTCAATTCTTCTTCAGAAGTCCATTCAGTTGTTTAATTCTACAATCTACCCGCATAACACAACACATTTAAATGTGTATGCCTGTAGCGAATTCTCTAATGTAGTGTGGTGTAATTTTTCAACGCGTTAAATTTACCTACTTTCAACTAAATTTAATGTCTCGAAAATAGATTTAATCGTGTTGAGTACACCTAACATTATGCAGTGTAATGACATCCTAAATGGTTGAAATTGATATATAATTTTTCAAAATGCGAGTGATTCTTGGTCCTTCATTACTGGTACATTCAATAGTTTAATTCCCTGTCGATCTTTATCACACACATGTATACATATACACACACATGTATCTATATGTGTGTCTTGATCATCTATTGTATGTAGTGTGGCATAATTTTTCAACACAATTAAATATATTTTTAACGCATTAAATCTGAAAAACAAATTTAATTGTATTGAGCACAGCTGCAAAGAATCTGACTATATATATATATATATATAATATACATATACTGCATGATATAAGTGCAAAACATATGGGCCGGTTTTATGTTTGTCAATTTTGTTTGGTTGTTTGTTTTGTCAGCTGATTAGGTGAACAAAATAAGTAGCGGCAGCCAGAGAATTCTGTAGCTAAATTTTATCTAGATAGTACAAATTTTGTTAGAATGTGGCAGCAGAAGCTGGTGTGCTGATCTAATATGAACTAGGCAACTAGGTAATGGACAAAAACAATTAGGTAAAAATATAATCTAAGATATATACATATATAGTATACACCAAAAGTCATACTATGCTATTTCCAAATTCAACCATTTCGGCATTTTTAATATGCTATATAGTTGTCACGGAACACCCATTCGCCGAACTTGACTTTGAAGTTTGAACCATTGAACATGTAGACATTTGTCAAAGAATGAAAGGCTTGTGATTACCTAGGAGGTCTCAAAACATATTTCACAACTAAAGTTTTACTGGAGTATGTCATTGGCCTTATATGTATGTAATTTTTTTTTTTTTTTTTTTTTTTTTTTTTTTTTTTTGTAGATATTAAAGATTTGTTTTTCTTGTTTGGATGTTGATATTGTTAAAGTAATATTATTTATTTCCAAGGTAATATAAGTTTAAAAGTAACTTGCATAATTATTAATATAATATATAAATAAATTGAGAATTTTATTAATATACAATATTCATTACTTGATTTAATAGTAAAAATTGAAAAATATGTGGGGTCAATCATAAGAACAACTTCATTGCATAAAATATTGAGGTATATGTCGGTAATTTCCTCCCATTCATGGAACCAACATTAATATAATATTTTATTTGCTACGAGGATTTTAGTTTTGACTCTCTATTTTGATTCAAATAGAGAGGAGGATTTGAATCTTGATTGGTGACCATTTTTTTATGTTCTATGAGGTGGATGAATTCTATCATTATAATGACCAATTTTATGAGTAATTGAATACAAATAAGTGAAAATTTATTATTATAATAGTAAAATTTATCATCAGCACTAAGAAAAAATAGGATTTTGGTTTTGAAGAGAAAATTTTCTCAAATAAGAATATGAAGAATTAGTATATGATTTTGGGATTATTAGTGACGACCAAATTTCTAATTAATAGATAAACAAATAAATAAAAGTGGCCATAATGCCTTTAACGAATCATTACTCTGCCGGAGTATTAAAAAAACAATTCTTGTGGCACTATGGAGCGCTAAAAACGGTTGTGACGTGTTGATTTGGGTGGCAATCATACGTGGCGGCATTATCTCTACGGAGGACTTTGATTTGAATCCACGTCAGCGATTAAACCGAGGGCCACAAGCAACGTGGATCGCTTGGAATGGATACAGAACATAGTCACGAACATAAGCGCGGGCTTTGACGTACGTTTTGGTCCATTCGTTGCTTTGACTTTTAAACCCCGTATGACTGGTTATTGGTTGACTGGTACCGTGATCGTAACGGATGGTGGTGGAATTAGGGTTCATCCGAACGCTACGCAACGTGCTTCCTGGAGGCATGACGGTGCGGAGGTGGAGGTCACAGATGGAAAATTTAAATGACTTTGATTCTTTGAAGGAGGGTAACAACATCCATGACTTGCCTTGTAGGAATCGTTTAGGGCTGGATTATAAGTCAATCATCAGTTTTTTTTTTTTTTTTTTTTTTTTTTTTTTTTTTTTACCATTTAAAGCCAAAATATTTTTTAACCGACTAAAGAGAGGGAGATTTTTTTTTTTTTTTTTTTTTTTTTTTTTTAAAGTGACTCATTAGGGAGTACTAAATTGGTGTAAAAATGTATTTTTATAATTTTTTTTCCCAATTTAAGAATTCAATTTGTAAATCCTTGAATTCATTGTGGTTTATCATTTCTTGAATTATGGACATGACAACTATATGTAACATTTATTATAGGAGGCAATTATGAAAATGCACCTAATATTGAATATAAATGTTTACAAATGTGCAAAATTAAAAATAAATCTACAATATTAAAAAATAATAACAAATCTTTATCATATTGTTGTTCACTTTATATTAAACAATTTTGTTTCATTATTTACTTGATAAATGTTCAAATATTATAGATATTCAGATCAAGTTTTAAAAGATTTACAGTATACAAATATTTAATTTGTGTGTACTATGTATACAGACACATATATTTGCAAATAAATTAGTTTAATATAGTTAGTTAAGAAATTTATTATTTTAAAGTTATTTAAAGTAATCCTTATGTACGAAAATTTAAACAATATTTATTTAATATTTAGAATAAATAATCAGTACCTAGTGGGTATCTCCTTTACCTCCCAAAGTGAATGGTGAAGGTTCAAGTCTCCAAAAAAGTAAAGTGCGTGATATATATATATATATATATATATATATATAAAATATTAAATGTACTAACTAATTTTATCTAAAATTATCATTTTTGATGAAAATTCTTCTTTATATAAAATACATTTCTTGAAATTTTTTTTCGCAGTGAATGAATTTTTTTTCAATTAATATTATATGTAGAATATCGTTAAACTTTTTAAAAACTATACCCAAAAGAAAAAATATTTTGAAGCTGAATTCTATTGAGGTAGGTTTTGATACCAACGTATCTCTCTCTCTCTTCGGTTTTTTTTTTTTTTTTTTTTTTTTGCTTTTTTTTCATAAAATCCATATTCTTGAAATTTAATGTCAAAATAGTTAGGACTTTTCTCATCAATAAGAAAAACTTCAATATTTAAATACATTTCAAATTTATTCTTAAAAATCACATAAAGAAAAAAAATTGAAATAAAACTCAAAACACACAATACAAAAAGAAAATTTTATCATCACCATTAGCATGATGGTGTTGAATAACTCATGGAGTTTTGTTACAGGTTTTCTGTACTAATCTTGCATTTCTACGTACAAAGATCAATATTAAATCCTAAGTGAGAGAGTGCATATAATTAATACAAAGTAGAGATTTAATTGAGAGAGATTGTAAATGACCCAAAACCTCAAATAAAGGAGAAAGTGTAAGAGAAATATATATTTCTATAACTCAGAGGATAATTGTGGTATTTGAGAAAAAATAATTAATTATTTGTAAAATTAGGAATAAAAATATCATTTTTTATAAAAATGTAATGTAATTGTAAAAAAGTAAAGTACAAATATCGCCTCCCTTAATTATTAGCCTCCCTTAATTATTAGTAATATTATGTACCTCTAACATAGAAGAAATATAATTAGTTATAACACAAACACATCTCCTCGGGCTCATGGCATTTAATATATGTACAAATATTAAAAACATTTTATTGAGGATCCTTGCTCTTAGTATTGAAAAATGATATTGAATGCGAAATATCAATAATGCCCTAATATTATATCAGGGAATGATAAAATTATTATTTTATAAAATTTAATCAACAAATATATTGTAAAGAAAATACTAAGAATATAGGGTCAAGGGCAAAAAACATTCTCAATTATGCTTACAGTGCATATCACACTCTTTCGTGCAAAAAACACCAATTAAGTTTTAATTTGGTACAATCAAGTCCATTTGACACATTTAAAACCGAAACTTGACTAAAGTGGCTTTAGTCAACAATTTTATAAAATATATAAAAATACAAATTTTTGTAAAAAGACCAAAAAGGACACTAAACTGTGACAGTGGTGACCTCGGAGGTTGTGGCGTTAACGGGGGAGATGGTGGCGGAGGCGACCATGAACTTTGGGAGGCGGGGGCAGAGAACGAGCCAGACGATGAAGAAGATGAGGACTGAGGCGATGGGTGCCGGCCGAAAGCTACACTCTGTAAATATCGAGAGAAATTCAGCAACGGCTCCCGTTGTTGAAATGTGAAGCATCGTTTCTCAGAGTTTCAAACCCGCCGTTTCCACTTCCGATCATCCCGATCGTCGGCTTCGGCGAGAGCCAGAAACCCCATGCGTAACGGCATCGGCGGGTAAGGAGAAGCTTGGCTGTGAGCGACGGCGAGCTTAACTTTCATGGAGCGACGGAAGAAAGGACGGACGGTGGTAAGAAGATGGGCTCGGCTGTGGAGAGCTTGGCCGTGGATGACTCGGCGGTGAGCTCGGCAGGTGGAATCGATGGCTGATGAGCAAGGGAGGGCTCAGCGATGTAGCGGCAGTGATGGTAGACAACTCTAGTTTGTCAAGGTTATCTTGAATGGTGTATTGCGAAGCAGACACCGATGCCAAGAGGCCAACCATCTTGCGTCAACGTAGAAAAAATGGCCACAGAGGACAACTCCATGATTGTTCTTGAAACCTCGGCTGGGAATGGTTTATCATTGCTAGTCAACTTTAGCTGGGTAGGCTCTGAAACGACAGAAACTGAACATTTAAGAGGTTGTACCAAAGATTTGCAAAATAGGTATGGCTTTGAAGGGTTGAATTGGGTTCTGATGGTGGGTTTAGAGAGAGAAAGTGATGGTCTGAAGATGTGGGCAGTGGGGAGGATTAAAGGTAGAAGATGTGTTGTGAGAGATTGGTTTTGTAAAACCATTTCACTTCATTGTGTGAGATCAATCGCGCCTTCCAAGATTCCTGCTTTGCAAGATAATCTAGGAAGAGAGAGTTTGTAGAATTGGATCCGGCTGGTGCTGACCGTGGGTCCCACTGCTTCATCAAGCAGTGGTTGAAGAAGACGACGGTGGTGGGAAAAGCTGGCGGTGATGGAAGAAAGAGGAAACGCCAACGACCAACTCACAGAGAGTAGAGAGAGAAGGATGGGTATTTTTGGAAGATTAAAAGGGTAAAATGGGTATTATAATAATAATTTATGACAGTTTTTTGAAAGATGAGTAATTTTACATAATTTTAAAAAATTAAAAATATTTATTACACACTTTTTTAAATACGAAATAAAAATACTATTTAAAATATATTTCAGGATATTTCTGCACTTATCCCAAAAATACAATACATACACAAACACCAAATTTAAAACGATGTGAAAGGAATAAACACTCAACCAACCATCTACTAAATACAAACCAAGAAATGGTTTAGTCCAAACACATAAGTAACAAACATAACCAAATGCCCTCAGACCCTAAAATAAATAAAAAAATAGTACATAGTTGGTGAAAGATTGAATGTCACATTTAATATGGACTGTCACTCAAATTTCTCCAAATAAGGACCTTTCACTTTGGAGCGTCCCGTCAAAATCACTTTATTGCATATACGAAACCACTCAGAGTCAGAGCTGGGAAGGGACATCACGCGTCCTGTTCACCACGCGATGCACAGTCGCGTGGAGTGGGACCCATTACTTTTATATGGTCAACCGTTGCAATTATATCATATGCTAACAAAATGTGTTTTTTGTTATGGTTTTTTTCAGACAAATTTTTTTGTTGGAAGCTTTTAGTTGGCAGCTTATTTTTCGAAATACAAATCAAATTTCGCTTAATCAACAAACATGGATTACTTTTAATTGGTCAATTGTTGAATTAAATGCAAAAATAAATAAAAATAATTCAACTAAATTCAAAATAACATCTTTTAGTTCGATGAATTTTAACTTGAATTTATTTTTTTTTCTAAACTCAAATCAAATTTAGATTAATCAACAAAAAAACACGTTTAATGGAACCTACTACTTATGTGTGGTCAATCGTTGAATTATATGTCAAAAATAATCTATTTGATTTGTAAAAGAGAGAAAAGAAATGACAGTAAATGGTTAGTGATGATTAAATTATATATATATATATATATATATATAGATAGATATCATAACGGAGTTTTAATCATGTTTTTAATGCAATCTTATTTGTAAAAAAAATAAAATATGGAAGGTGCCAATTGACTAGTTAAGTTCCTTTATATATATGTCTTTAACTTCATGGGGATTATGGTTTATACTCTATCTAAAGGGTAAATACAACTTGGATTAATTGAGAGATTAGCTCAAATTAAGTTTTAAATCTTCACTGAAAGTTGTTATTTTGATGAATTCAATCTGAGTCCAGGTCAGTCAAACCTAATGTGAATTGAATAAGTTATTTTTAGTTACTATTTTCGAGGTTTCAGGTATAGTTTGAACCACTTCAAATTAATTTTATTTAAATTTAAACAAAATCGATTTTGTGTTGAAAATTTTCAACTCAAGCCTAATCCAAACAACAAAACATGTAAGCCGAATTAATTTTGAGTTTGCATGGTTACACCATTTTAAATTAAAAAATAAAATACTAAAAAGAAAAAAATTATATTCAATTGTTATTGGTTAACATCTTGGGGATTTTTTTATTATTTATGATTACATTAACATCTATATATTGGCATTAGTCTTGATGTTATTTTCATCTTTCAAATAGTTTGGTAAATTGCTGTTAAACAAAAGAATAAAAAGCATCCAGTAAAATAACTTTTGGAGATCCATCAAACTCAAAGCATCACAACCACCATAATACTTGAAGGTTCAAAACACAACTACTACCTTTTTTTGTGTACAAAATTTTGAATAATACAAGTCTTTTTGAACTATACATGTCCTAAATTGTAAGTCAACACTCAACTTTTAAAATTTTACTGTCTTTACAGTGTTAATCCCCAAAAATTTAGCATTTGAAAGTAGAAAATTGTTCCTTTTTAGGTTAAATATAGAGAATTAGATATAGAGTAAATAATAATCACCAGAAGGTAAAACAATTATAACTACAACTTTTATATGCTTTGTGTAATAAGTGAGGTAAAAAAAAAAAAAAAGTCAGTAAAGTAAAGTCAAACGGTATATTAAATGAAAAGTTGGGGGAGAAAATGAATGGACAGAAATTGGGATAATAATCCGTCAAAGCTAAGAAAAGGAGGGGAAAGGAAAAAGGAAGTCATTTTCACGAAGTTTGCAAAGAAAATTCCAAACAGAGATTAGAGAGAGAACCAGTATTGGAAAATCAGTCATACGCGGAATTTCAATTCCGTCTGTTTAAAGTTGTATTAATAAAAACGAGATTCTGGTTGTTTGGGAAAAAAGAATTTCATTTCCTCTTCGTCGACAAATTACAAGTTGCAGAAAGTGGGGAGATTTGTGTTGACGGATCTGGTGATAAAAAGGAGGAGAAATATAGATTCTAGAGAGAGAAACATATACATATATCTATTCATATACATATATTTAGAGAGAGAGAGAGAGAGAGAGAGTTTGGAATTTGAATGGCATCAGCTGCGATATTCTCGTCTCTCCGGCGGAGGAGGTCGCCGTCTCTGGAGGCGTTCCTGGCACCGGTGGATCTCGACGACGTTTCGCTCGTTGAAACCCTAGCGGCGGTCACGACGGAGTTGATCTCGTCGTTCTCCGGCAAGGCGTTGCCGTTTCAGCGCAAGAATTCGCGGTGTCTGATTCGGAAGATCGAGGTGTTCGTTGTTCTATTGGAGTGCCTTCGTGACTCCGGTTCGATTTTGCCTCCGACGGCCATTCTCTGCCTGAAGGAGCTTTATCTGTTGTTGTATCGCTCGAAGATACTTCTCGATTACTGCTCGCACTCAAGTAAGTTATGGCTTTTACTTCAGAACCATTCGATTTCGGGGCATTTTCATGATCTTAATCAAGAAACGTATACGCTTTTGGATGTTTTCCCAATAAAAGAGCTCAATTTGAGTGACGATATTACAGAACAAATTGAATTGTTACAAAAGCAATCGAGACGGGCCAAATTGTTCATTGATAGAAATGATGAGACATTGAGAATAAAATTATTTTCATTTCTTAATGAATTTGAGAACGGGCGAGTTCCTGATCCGGTGGAATTGTATTCGTTTTTCATCGAAAGATTGGGAATTCGAGGTGCGAAGAGTTGCAGGGTTGAAATTGAGTTTTTGGAGGAGCAGATTGTGAATCATGGGGGAGATATTGAGCCGACTGTTTCGGTGCTTAATGGGTTTGTGGCACTAACTCGGTATTGTAGGTTCTTGCTCTTTGGATTTGAGGAGGATGAAGTGGAATTTGGAATTGGGAAACATAGGAGGCCGAGAAAAAGGTTGATAACTCAAGAAATTGCAGATACATTTATTACTGTTCCGAAGGACTTTTGCTGTCCTATATCATTGGATTTGATGTTAGACCCAGTGATTATTTCAACAGGGCAGACTTATGATCGAGCTTCCATATCAAGGTGGATGGAAGAAGGGCATTGCACTTGCCCAAAGACAGGGCAGATGCTTGTTCACAGCCGGCTTGTGCCTAATCGGGCTTTAAGGAATTTGATTGTACAGTGGTGCACTGCTCATGGAATAACCCTTGACCCGCCAGAGAGTGGCGAATCATCTGCTGAAAGTATTGTTATGCCTTCTGTGAGCAAGGCTGCAATTGGAGCTAATAAAGCTACAGCAGCACTTCTCATTCAACAGCTAGCTAATGGGTCGCCGGGTGCAAAAACTATTGCTGCCCGAGAGATCCGTTTGTTAGCAAAAACTGGAAGAGAAAACCGTGCTTACATTGCAGAAGCTGGAGCAATTCCTCATCTGAAAGGGCTGCTTTCATCTCCAAATACTGTTGCACAAGAGAATTCTGTGACTGCAATGCTTAACCTATCGATTTATGACAAGAACAAAAGCCGAATTATGGATGAAGAAGGGTGTTTAGAATCTATTGTGAAAGTGCTTAGATTTGGGCATACAACCGAGGCAAGGGAAAATGCTGCAGCAACATTGTTTAGCCTCTCTGCGGTACATGACTATAAGAAGAGAATAGCAGACGAGGATGGAGCAGTTGAAGCCCTGGCAGGATTGCTGAGAGAGGGGACACCGAGAGGTAAAAAGGATGCAGTTACAGCCCTATTTAACCTATCCACCCACGCAGATAATTGTGTTAGAATGATAGATTCAGGTGCTGTAACAGCATTGGTGGGAGCTTTGGGAGTTGAGGGTGTTGCAGAGGAAGCAGCAGGCGCACTGGCCTTGATTGTTAGGCAGCCGACTGGGGCAGAAGCAGTGGGGAATGAGGAAATGGCAGTGGCAGGATTGATAGGAATGATGCGTTGTGGGACTCCAAGAGGGAAAGAAAATGCAGTTGCAGCATTGCTTGAGTTTTGTCGGACTGGTGGGGCGCCTGCAACTGAGAGGGTGGTGAAGGCACCAGCATTGGCCGGTCTGCTTCAGACTTTGCTCTTCACAGGAACAAAGAGGGCAAGGAGAAAGGCAGCATCACTCGCAAGAGTGTTCCAAAGGTGTGAGAATTCTTACATGCATTTTGGTGTGGGGTATGCCTTTGCAGGCAACTCTGCTACAAATAGGGATACAAGCTTTGCTGGTGATGTTTCCGTGCCAATGTCCATTTCAGTGCCTGTTTTATAGCGGCAATATCCAGTTGTTTTATTGCCCTGTATCCATAATGTTTCATTTTTGTTGGTTACAGTCACAAATTCTTTTATTGAAAAATATAGATGAGCAAAAATTAATAGGAACACCAAAATTGCTGTGTTTGGAAACAATGATGAGAGCTTTGAGCTGCTAATCTTTATATGTGATGTCCAATTATCTTATAATTAGCATATGAAATAGTTATATGCAAAAAAACTGGTTCTTTAGGAAACTATTTTCCCAATTGTTTGATACTTGAATACTATTGAAATTGATGCAGGGATTTATTTATTTTTTTTCTCTTTCGGTTCTTCATGTATAAATAAAGTGACATACTAAGTGATCCTTGAGAAAACGAGCTGAAATTTGTCTTCTGATTTATGTTTTGATCTCCTGTAATTTGACACACTTGAGGCAAGTAAAGGGACTCTTTTCTCTATTTACACCTGTTATTAGAATGCTGTTGCTAGAGTTATTTGTCTTTACCTGGTAGCAGATTTCGGAACTGATGTATAATTTTCCTAAATCCAAGTTATAAGGCCGCATTGGTACATGCAACACTTAGAATTATTAGCCTCTATCGTATTTTTTATTGTCTTGCGCCAAATATGTTAGGCATGTTCTCTCCAATGGAAAATTTGATGTTAAATAGAGCAAAAGAGTAATGGTATAATCTTTGAAAAACAACAAACTGTTGAAATCCTTGAATCATTGTTGTGTTGCGATGGAATTTCTTGTTTCATCTTGCCACAAGTTGCATCATTTTGAAGATTGAACCCCTTGGATTTAAATGCTCCTCCTTCCCCTCTTTATCGTCTATATGACAGTTCTACCAAAACGATATGTTGTCCAGTATCTGGGGAAATTCAGAAGGGAAATTTATGTCTTTTATGCACTAATAACGATCGTTTAGTTTATCATACTTACATATCAAATCATATATCAGAATTTGAAGTAAACTGCTTGATTTTTATAATATATATGTGTGTATATCTACAATAGGCTGGAGACAAACCATTGCTCTGAGCTTGTTTATGCGAGTGGTGGAAGATTGGAAGAATTGTTCTTTCAAATATTGATGTGAAGTATGAATGGAGTCGTCCAAGCATGAAAAACATGAGCACCATATCAGGGTGCTAAAGTTGCATTCATATAGGTAATCATCTTCTCGAATATTCCACCAGGAGCGGTTTGAGATCAACTCACTAATCGTTGATCTCAGCCCTCCTTAGTGAACTGCGGAGTACAGGTCACTGGACGCTCTTGGTACGGTGACCTTGCGTGATGTCATTGGCTTATATCAAAGAAAATTTTGTGGGTGTTATAATTCTCATTAGTCTTGAGTTCTTGATTGTTCCACTAGAAGCAGTATCGTCAACCTTTAATTAACAGTTTGGTGGTTGTGATGTATGGTGGGGCATGCCTTCACCACAAAGCAGCTACTTTGTCAAATTAGCATGAATGCAAGATCTCTCTAATATGGCCACAGAGGCCATTAACTTGGTGAATAATTATGTACTGTTGTTTTTTTTGAAAATGGTGGTTGTTGGAGCTATTTAAAGTGGAAAACTTGCAAAGCCAGTTTGAGAATTGATGATGGTTGGTAACTTGGTACGTTCATAATAAAAGTACTAGTTTCTTATCTCTTTCCTTTGCCTTGGATTCTTTTTATTTGTTTTACAGTGTACGACTGACCAGCTAGACAGCAGGCCCCAATTTGCAGATGTGAATTCCAGAAGAACTACATTTTAATCACTAAATCTATCAACTAAACAAATATTATATGCACTAATGTATGATACCAACATCAACATGCTTCCTGTTTAGGTCACGCTTTTCAAAATGCCTTTCCATTCTCGACCCCACATCCCCTTATAACTGTTCGTAACTTCTATTCGAGGCAATCTTCTCTTCTCTCCCATGCAACGTGGAACGTCACACAATCTATAGTGTGTTCTTCTTTTGGTTCAACTTGGACTTCTGCTTCTGGAGTTTTTTTTTTTTTTTTTTGGGCGTTGGCTCATGCATCTTGGAGAGAATTCTGAGAGTCTGAGAATTGATAAATTGCATTTGTTGTTACAAATTGATATACTAACAGATGATGCAAAATTGAATGGAAGAGAAAATGATAAAAGCACTCAAACTTACACTCCAACTTTGAGAAAAATCTGGTCATTTCTTTCGACAAATAAAAATAATCAGTGGAGAAGTGTAGGAACATGAAGTGTCGATACCACATCTCTATTTGAGTTTAAAATATACCAAAAAAATAAAAAAAAAATGAAGAAGATGAAGAAACAAGCTACAATTCATTTGTTTGGATGTAAAAAAAACTTACTCAGACAAATTCTTTCACGCACTGCCCGAAGACGTGGGCTTCAACTTCAACCTATACCATTCTCAAACATCCCAAAAAATAAAAAAAAAATAAAAAAAATAACACACTTGAAAAAGAAAAAATAATTGAAAAAGGCCTAAATAGAAAATTATAATCACTGAAAAGTGGGGCCAAAGAACCAATTGGTCCAATTACAAACCATTGGGCTGTTTAGTTGACAACTAGGTAGATTTTATTTCCAAATTCAGAATGGGCCATGTCTTGGGCTTCTAGGGTGCATTACCCTTAAATAACCCTAACATTGTTCCCCACGTCTGATATTTAGACCACATGGCCAATGCAGTCTTTAAAAGATTTTGGGCCTCAAAGACTAGGCAGAGTCAGCCAAATTAAGCCCATCTCAAACTAATTTGAGGCCCAAGTCCACAAAACTGCTATGGACGGACACCCTACTTTTGACCAAAGAAAAGATCATATTCTAGTAAGTAAAAAGTAAAAGCTAAAGAAAATAAAGAAACCAAAATGATTTTGTTCAGAAAAAGAAATTTGAGAACCAGAAAGTGAACTTCTTGGACCTCCCATATGAACTCAGATCACCCCCTTAATCATAACACATACAAAGTTAAATTATACAAAATATTATAAATAATCGTGTACTCAAATAAATATCAAAGCCGTATTTAGAATAACAGGAAAGAAAAGAAATGTTTCTTAATTCTTTTTTTTTTTTTTTTTGATTCGATGATGGTATCAGACCCTAGTCTTATATGCAACCGTCAATTACCAGACCGAAAATTTTCTCTCACAGTGATTTCAAGGAGATTCGAACTCCAAACTTTCACAAGTAGTGAGGTGAGAGTCTTTGTGGAATTCCATAGTACTAATTGCCATTTAAAAATAATAATAATAATAATAATAAAGAGGAAAATAAATTGAGAGAAAAAGAAAATCCTTGATTAGCTGGAGGACCATGGGGTCCCCACAACTAAGAACAACTACTCTCCAAAGCAAGTACAAACTAAAAAGTAGAAAAAAGTGGGCAAGTGGTCACAAGATTTAAGGCGGGCCTATCTTTTGAAAAAAACAGTCACAAACCAATATAGTATATATGAAGCCCACGTTCTCAATAACACACCCTAACTGTCCCTTAACTGTTTCTTCCCACCTCAATTACTACTCATTTCAGTCTTTTATCATCTTTTTCTCTGCAATTTCTGACCTTCAAACACAAACAATTACTCAAAAAACCCAGAAGGAAAAGAAAAAACAAGACTAGCTTACAATGATGAAATGGGGAAGAAAGAAACCTTCTATGTCTCCTTCACCGTCTCGGTCTACCTCCATTTCTCATGCCTTTCCCATTTCTTGGTTGTCAAAGTTGAAGCAAATGGGTGGCATTTCTCAGCACAAACACACAAAGGAAAACCGGAAAGGAAAAGGGAAACTGAATCCGGAGTCCGGTAGTTCATCGCCATGGCCTGCTGCAAGCTGGAAGGATGGCAGATTCTACTGTGGGGATGAGGACTCGTATTGGAGGCTTTCGTTCGGAGAGGACAGGCTGCTTCAGGGGGAGAAGAGTGGAGTTGGATTGAAATCCGTCCGGTATGATTCTGATGATGAGCTTAAACTCCCCTTTTCGAGCTGTGAGAATTGCAACTCCATTGCTATGGAAATGGCAGGAAGAGGAGAGATTTACAAGTTCAGTGACATGGTCTCAGATGGAAGGAAGAGGAGAGAATTGCCTCGGAACGTGGAGGTTTCACATGAAATTGTCACACCTAACAGAGGAGCAAAAGAAAGAGCGGTGAAAGAACTCAAAATACCAAGGAGAAAAGCTGTGAAAATTCAAGCAATCGAAAGTGATCATCATCATCAACAACAGTCAATAGCTTCTGATTTAAGAAAATCAAGAAAATCTAATGTGAGCACAATTGAAGAAGATTGTGTATTTGAAGCTCTGACTTTGAAGGAAACTAATGGACAGTCCAAAGAAAAGAGTCGAGAGTGGCAAAACTTGAAGGACATGAAGGTCAAAGAACTTGGGTCTAAAGGTGAGAGAGGGAGAGACTCTGTGTACATAAGCAGGAAACCGCAGAGAAGAACAAAACAGAACGGCAAAGTCAGAGCTTATTCGCCGAGAACAGCGGCGAGGGTCGAATGCAAAATCAAAGCCCTAGAAGACATGAAGAAAGCAAAGATCAAGATGATGAAGAAGAAAACAAAGGGTGGAGAAGTTGAAGAGAGAACAACCTTTGATAGCTTTGCTGTGGTAAAATGCTCGTTTGATCCGCAACAGGACTTCCGAGATTCGATGGTTCAAATGATCACGGAAAAAGGGATCAGACAGGCAGAAGAGCTTGAAGAACTCCTGGCTTGTTATCTGACATTGAATTCTGATCAATATCATGACCTCATAATCAAAGTCTTTCGGCAGGTTTGGTTCGAGCTGAACCAGGTATATTTCGTGCCTGATTTTCAGAATGCACCCGGTTGCTAATATGTACTCTTCCATCTATATCAACTTGTAATGATATGCTATACCAGTATGATGCTACTATTTATAGTAAGTTACAATTTTAGTCTCAAATCTAAGGGTACTTGTAGAAGCAAATTGTATGAATTCTACAATGGGAATGTTAAACCAGAAAGAATCATGAATATATATAATTTTATCATATGCTTTTGTAGTATATCTTCAAAGTCGTTATTTAAATAGGCTATCAAATTATGTACCAAGGAGCGGAGTAATCTCTCGATAGAAGGGTTCAAGATAACCAGCACTACCTTGAGGATCCATCTCCAAGAGCATCCTGGCTACACATTCTGCCAATTCCACATTTCCTTGATTTCTGCAATGGAGCTTCTTCCAGTGCCATTGTTCTCACGAGTTCTTAAGCCTCTTCTAATCATCCAAAGCCAACCCTAAAACTAGATTGCGCAATTGACAAGAGTCATAAACTCTCTTTATCGATGACTGAATTGAAAAAGATCTCGAAATTTGTAGATGTCAAGACAAAGCTAAGAGATTCCAATCAAGAGAGTGATATATATCATGTTAGCTTTTTCTAAGATGATAGGGATCAACAGAAAAAAGGTACCATAGAAAAACAACATGCATGTACTCTAACCAACGTCCACTCACTGATAAGCTAGTTTGGTACAATTTAATGATTCTCAATCCAATTCTACCACTCCGATTATTCTACGGACCCTCCAACGATCCTACGTAATCGTGACAACCTTGCTAATAGGAGTAAGAAAGAAGACAATGACAGCAGTGGCACATATACATGAGTTGTTAAAAGTCAGAAACAAATTATATCACTCACTCCATATTGTCAAAACACATGATTACATGACAGCAAAAAATGAGGAGAATTTCTTCCACCTAAATCCATGAATGCCCTTCTAGGATCCCCCAATCTATTCTATAATAACTTTAGTTGACATAATTCGTTATTCCTGATGGTTCCACCACTAACAATGCTCAAGTCCAAACTGTTTGGGGGTCCAAAGAAACAAAAACCGATACTTTGCATGTCACATAAAAGAAGATACATCAAGGATCGTAACCCAATGCTATACCCTCTCATCTCCCAAAGTGCAAGGTTACAAGTCTCCATAGGGGCACAGTGAAGTTAGCTAAGCCAACCCTAAAACTAGACCAAAAATGATGCGCAGAATTTTTTATATATATATATTCTTCCAAGAATGCCTGTTTAAAACGTTCATGGTACAAAACATAATCAGTGTATGTTACGCCAAGACAAGTTAAGCCATTTACAAGGTACTTGCTCTAAGGATTTGAACTTACCTTTTACCATTGCGCTTCATCTATGTAGCAAATAACTAAACAGCAAGTATTTTAAGTTAAAACGTCACCGATACGCGCTTGGAAATGTCATGATTGATTCACCAAGGCAACAGGATTCAAAAATATAATTGTATAAAATTGTAAATTATCTAAAATTGACATTTTTAACTGCTCAACACTGGCAGCGACAAAACTATGCATAGATTTATCATATAGTTTGCGTGGATGTCCGTTTCTGTAAGTTGACATATACAATGCTGACACTAGAATAGGCCAAAAGGAAAATCTCGTGCACAAAACATAAACTATGGTAGTTCCCTATTAAATGAGGGAGAACCAAGATAGACTTTGCATAAGTTTGATAAAAAAAAAAAAATCATGATAAATCTAGTGCTGATGAATGATGAGTGTGGCTGACAAAACACGTGATATGCCCGAAGATGATGAAACAAAAACACAAAAAGCCTATTTTATTGCCAGATCAAACCAATCTGAAAATTTACACCCACTAACTAATGAACCAAAAGGTAATATAATTATAGTAAACATGTAAATTTACACCCAGTAAGTAATGAATCAAAAGCTAATATAATTATAGTAAAACTTGTAAATTTACACCCAGTAACTAATGAATCAAAAGCTAATATAACTATAGGAAAACAACTAACATCAAGTTCTCTCTGCTGGAGTAAGCTGCCCCAATTGTTCCGCAAGGTTATTGATACTCCTCATATTCCACCAAAACTTTCCATCAATGGATTTGCTTTCATTCTTTCTGCCATCAAAATCTTTCCTTTCTGACTGCACCTCTGTTGCATCAGTTGAACCAGGATTCTCTGTCAGGAACTGTTCCCAAAACACATCATTGACCCCGGTTGGAGTAGTAGCTGCAGTCCCAACTACTTGTTCTTCTGAAACAGCAACCTCAGAAACAACAGCTGCAGCAGGCTCGGAGTTCACATCTATCACAGTTTTAGAGCCAACATCCACATTTAGCTGTGTGTAAGAAATAGTTGGGCTATCTGCACAACTTGTAGACTCAACCAACTCCGGGGATGAATTATGTTGCATGTAAGATTGACAAGCATCATGTATAATATTTTCCCAAAATATCAGGGAGGACTCCAACTGCTCAAATGATTCTGTATCTAACAGCAACGCAGAGGAAGCATTCAAATTTTCTTTAGCCACAATTTGGGAAGTTCCCGTCTGGTTACCTTCAATGCAGGCCTCATCATGGAAGCAACTCCCTCTAGGCAACCTCCTCCTTCTTTCATGGATTTCTGATTGTGGCATTAGATTCAAGGCTAGCTCAGGTTTTCGCAAGGTTTGAGCCAAAGAGGATAACATATTTTTTTGACGATGTTCCACATGTCGCAAACCCTCAGTCAAAACCTGCATTTGCGTATCAATTCTTTCCTGCTCCTGTTTATGTATCTGCAACTCCAACATAAGTGACTCCTTATCACATTTCAGCCTCTCAATGTTGCCCCGATAACTCTGTCTTTCTGATTCAGTCAATGAAGATGAAGAAGTTCCTTGTCCTTGCTGATTCTGTAGGGAATGACTATGAACTGGCTTGCGTCTGTGGATGTTCTTCAAAAGGTGTGGCTGGCCTCTAATAAAATCGTCATTTGCAAATTCCCATAGTTCCGGATCAATTTTCCTAAAACCCTGGTCAAAGAAGGAAAACCAAGCAAGAATAATCAAGAGGAAATTTATACAGAGTAAATAAGAGATACAGAATTGTTTTGGAAGTACTCAGTTGACTTACATATGTATTGAGCTGTCTGATAAAGCTGGCAAAGTTATTGTGCTTGAAGAATTTGGGCAGCAACTGTCTTGCGAATTCTGGTGGATTCCACACGATAAAGCTACAATTACTCTGACTCCAGGAGACAATGGAGTCTGTGGAAGGATCATCTACCATCTCATATGTCTTTGTGAGGAAAGGAGGAAGTGCATTTGAACTGCATTGAGTTTCATCCATCATAGAATCAAATCCTTACAAGAACTCAGAAACCACGAACAAATCATCAACCAGATCTCCTTGTAAATGTTCAGGACCCACAAATGAGTCGGCAAACCCTTAAATCCCCAACTCAAGTCTTTCAATTCCAAACAAGTTAACAAGTTTTATCCTCAGATCACACTGAATAGATTCACAAGGGCACCCTTGAGATTTTAAATATCATCAAAATCCCAAAGAAGCCTTTAATTCTTCTTCTTCTATTGGGGAGGAGGTCAGAACCTTATGAATTACCCAGAATATAAACTCTCAAGCACGTCCTGTATTTGCCAATTTTCCAAAGAAATTAGTAGTAAACCAATTTCTCAAGATTCTATAGCCAAAATCAAACCAAATGACCAGAGCAGTCAAAAGTCCTACGTTTCCTATGTGTATTCCAACTGTTCAAAACATCAAATCCTAATCTATTCCAAAGTTCACCCACAACACAATATTCTTAATCAACTTCCTTGCACACACAAACCCAACAATTCAATTCCCAAACCCCACTTTTCCCACTGAAAATTCCAACTTCAACGAAATTAAAAACCCTTTATTGCCCGAATCGCATCAAATCAGGTGATAAAGCAAAATTGCACAGGAAATTCTGGTAGCAAATAGACAAACCCGCAAACAACTAATTCCCCAAACCACAAGCGAAACCCAACGATTCAACAAACTCTGGTCAATTCTACAACAGTCACCTGTTTCTGTAGCTAGAAAACAAACGATTCAGTTTCTACCTCACAATCCCTTGCAAAACCCAAACATCAAAGTCGTTAAAACAGTCATCTTTATCGGAAACTTAAAGCAAAAGCATCAGATTAAATAATATTATATACATTTGCGAATAATCTATGCACACATATGCAAAGCATTACAGTAATTTAATTCGTGTAGGTCAGGTGTTCGAGCTTTTACCTCACAGAAAGAAGATCGTAGTCGTAACGCCCAAGTTACAGAGACGAGTCCCGATTTCCAGAACCAGCTCGTTCGTTCCTGTGTGTATTATATATTGGGATTTGCGCGTGAATCGAAATTTGGGGGACTTTTCTAGGGTTTTCGAAACGAATTTGGAACACAAGATAATTATAATAATTATTAAAAAATAATAAAATTTTCAGATTCTTACAATCTCACCGTGAGGTCCGTGATTGTGATATGGTTTTGTATCCGAATTTAATACCATGCGTTGACTGCAACGGTGGTGTCGTGGGATAGGATCGATCTGGTGATAATCTTCCAAGTCATTTCTAATGTTGTAAGAAAGAGACAATATCTATTACAGACAATTGAATGTTACATTACAATATTACATAGAGTCCTATGTATTATGTATGCAAAATATTGTATTATGGTTTTGGGACGATTAGGTGACGTGTGTGCTTCGCTGGTGTCGCTATATTTCGGGGATTTTTGGCCTTGGGATGTGTGACATATATCATATATATATATATATATATATACAAACACTGTATATATATATTTAGAGAGAGAGAGAGAGTCTGATACATTGTACGCGTTTTTAAATTTAGAAATGTATATGGTGCCGAATATTCTGGAACATGGGCCGTACACGTGTTTCGTGAATGAGACTCGTGAAATTTAAAGCTCTTTTATTCTTTGGCTTGGTGAATTTTTTATCGGGAAATTGCCTTGGTTACCAAGAAATATACGGAGAATTTTATGCATTCAAACTGTATAACGACAAGCGTGCAGAACAAAATGTGTAAGTTTTATTTATTATTTATTATTTTTTTGGGCTTTAGTACAGATAAATGGTAATAATGACTCATATTTATTATTTAGAGTATCTTCGATGGTCTCTTAAATAGGCTCTCGAACTCAAAATATAATAGGTGGATAAAAATACGGCTACTCCAATTCTCTCAAAAGACCTCTCATATTATGAGATTCTTAAATATATTTTCAAATATAGTATCTCTTAAATGGCCTCTCAAACTCAAAAGAAAACAAGTGAATAAAAATAGGCACTTAATGAATAAGGCATTTCAATGGGCTCTCAAAATATGGAATGGTTGTTGTGTAAAAAAATAGTATTTTGGATAAAATGCACCATTGGAGCATAATTATAAAAATGTAGCATTTTGACAATGTAACTCTTCTCAAAATATAGATTTAACAGGAAAATATAACATTTTGCATTGAAGATACTTTTAATGGAGTCAAAGTCTTATAGTTTCGAAAAAATAAAATTGACCAAAATGCTGACGTTGATATGAAAAAACACAGTTTACCCTTACTGAGGTATCACTTTCAGACACATAGATTCCATTTTTTGTGCACGGAGGTACCACTTTTTATACATTAGGTACTATTTTTGGTTTAGGTATAAAGGTACCACTTTTATTCACATAAGTATCATTTTTTTATACAACACAAAAAGTGGTACATGGATGCAGAAAAAGTGGTACATATGTGCCCAAAAGTGATACCTCAGTAAAGTTAAACATTGTTTTTTCATGTGTTCATTTTTTTCGAAATTATGAAAATTTGAATCCATCAAATAATAAAAATAGTTTATTAGCACCATTTATACGTAATAAATTTTTTTTTTCTTTTCTTTTCTTATTCTAATGAAAATAACTAGTCAACCATTTTTAGATCCTAGTAAACTCCAAATGAATCTAATCACTCCAAGTTAAGTACATCAATTAAATTTATGTCTCATGTTTTAGTAAGATTCACTGAGAGAAATACTTCAAAAAAAAAAAAATCAGATAAGATGTGTGCAGGTTCAAAGTGTATAAATTTTAGTCTAGGAAATTTTATTTTATCCGATCTTTTAGATTTGTTGCTTACTATTTTAATTAATAATTACTATTTTAATTAATAATACCTCGGTCCCAAAATAATGTCCATTTTAGGACATTTAACTTTGTAAAATGAGCCGAATTATCAAATTTATCAACCCTTGAGGAGGTGAGTCAAAGATTTCATATAATTTGTGAAATTAAGAGATTGATGCATATAACTTTGCGTACATGTTTATTTCTTCAAAAATATGTTTATAATTATTTTTACATAATTTGCGAAACCGTGTTTTTTTCCCCAAACATATGTATGGCATGGACGGCGATATATATATTTTTTCTGAATATTTAATGAGGAACCTTCTAAAACTGACGTGTCTTAACATCATTGGATCATTTCAAAATTAATTAACCAATTGGAAATAAAGTTGACTTCAATGAAAATGGGTTGATTTTCTATCTTTTCTCATTCTGGTATATTTTTCAATATCATAAAATGCAATACGACGAGATTCTTCTTTACATGCAAGGAAAGTGTAAGGAATCTGGGAGCAATTATTTTCTTTAACACGGTCATCCAAATTTCTGTCAAAGCTGAATGAAGCACTTTGACAAATATTTTGTTTCTCATGGATGAATTTGGTGTATATAATATATATATATATATATAAAGGTTGGGCGGAGTTCTAGAACATTGCATAATGTGCATATTTATTTAAATCGAATTGAAGAATAAACGATGTCATATGTTTACATTATCTCAATCAAATAATTGAAGACATGATGATCTCATAACAGACTTATTTTTTTATTTGAAATAATATTTAGATTTTCTATCACGTTGAAGTTTACATGGCATAATTTGAATCATAATTATCATACAATTTTTTTTAACGAGTGTCGTTAGTTCTTACGCTTCGAACGTGTTTTTGTTCTCACGTTCTTCACGCACTCTCGCTCTTATTCTCACCATGTGTGATTTAAATTTTGTCAATGTTCCCTCTCTCACTTCCGCCTTATGTAACTTTAGTTATATCCTATTTTAACCGTGACTTCTTCTTCTTCTTCTTCTTCTTTTGTTTCTTTTCTTTTCTTTTTTTATTTTTTATTTTTTTTGAGAGTCAATGTTTTTCTTCATGAAAGAGAGAATGTAATTAAGCCATTTTAATACAAATTCTTTGAGAAAAAAAAAATATATCAGTCCTCATTTTTTAAAGTTAATTTTCAAATTATTTAGACTTATAATTAATATCCTTAGTATTTCATGAATTGGTATATGATCTATTAACAATTCAATAAAAAATTAGTTTGTCATTTTTAATGAAAGTTAAATATTAAATATATATATACCAAAAAAAAAAAAAATTACATTCTAAAAAATAATAATGTTCAATTACATGCATTTAATTACTTTTCCCTTAGAGTTATGCTTCAAATTTATTACTTTTTAGGTTTTAATAAGCTTTTCGTTTAAATGAAAGCGTTAAGCTTACAAATTGTTTTAACTTGACAATTTGAATATGATCCATATAACATAGTTTTGACTTATATTAAATTTAAGTTCATTAAATGGTAAGTTATTAAGTTAATTAATTGTTAAGTTATATAAAAATTTTGTGGTATAATTCGTATTAATCCTATTTACATATATATGCACAAAAATCAAGAGCCAGAGAGAGATGGCTTTAAAGTTTTTGAGAGAAGTATTTTTAAACGAGTGTTTTGTATTTTGAGTTGATTGGATGAAGATGAATATATAAGTTAATAAAGAAAAATGCAACTTTTGTGAACATAAATATTTGATTATTTGAATTTGATTAATTGAATTCAGAAGAAAGTGACGTCCTACAATTGTACTTGAAAAAAAAATAAAAAAAAAAAATAAAAACTTAGAACTATTTTCAAAAAACAGTTATTAAGGCCAACTCAACGGAAATCAATAAATTGGGCTCTGGTAAAACTTTTGTGGGCAGAAAAAAATTGTTTTAAATATTTTTCCATTTTTTTTTTTTTTTAAATACTGACTGTTTTTTTGTACAAGGTTAGTAGCTGCACATGAAATAGCACATACTGTACTAATACGAGCCGTTGTGTTGTGTTGACTCCAGAAATTGTGTACAGGATGCCACATGTGAATCGCAACTTTGAAATACCTCTCTCTCTCTCTCTCTCGCTGTATATATATATATATATATATATTATCAGAGTCTGCATCATGTGGAGTACAAAACACCATGCTTAGTTGTGCTCAACACAGTTAAATTTAATTTTAATATTATTATTTTTAATTTTAGCATTTTTATTTCTAAGTTGAAATAATGTGTTGAAACTTGAGTCACAGAACTAGAACTAACACTACGCACTTGCTTTGATCCATTATGTGTGACTTAGATTTTGCCATTTTTTTCGCTCTTGCTCGTGACTTAGGTTGAAACACAATTTAATTTTAATATTATTATTTTTTATTTTCACATTATTATTTCTAATTTGAAATAATGTGTTGAAACTTAAGTTACGGAATGAGAACTAACACTACGCTCTTGTTTCGATCCATTATGTGTGAAAGAAAGAAACCCTTTAATAAAGAGAGAGTTTTTAGAGAGAGAAAGATATGAGGCCTTTAACATGTACTATAGTAACCAGAAACAAAACAACGATTAAGAGAAAAACCAGTAAGCCCAATACCTATTGTAGAGTGAGAGACACGAGACCAATCTATTATTGAACAAAAAATCATACAATTTCTTATTTTTGGTTTCTTCAATTTGTTTTTATTATTATATTTTTTTGTCATCATTACTGGATTAACATGTAATATTACTTTCTAAAACTATAAAAAGTGATGCATAAAGTGGTAAAAAAAAAAAAAAAAATCTCACTCGTTGCATTCGATGGTAGATAGATTTGTTTCGGTTAGTTTATCAATTTTTTTTTTTTTAAATCAATTGATTATTTTTTTATATTTTTTGTCAAATAATTATTATTGTTGGTATAAAAATAATTGGACCAATTTGATAATAAGAGAAAAATTAAATAATCAATTACCCAAATAATAATTTTAATTTAAATTTAAAAATATTTTTAAAAGCCGAAAATCAAAAATATTTTTTAAAATTTTTTTTCAAAACCTTTACTAAACACGAAAAAATAAAATAAAATCAACATGAAAAAGTGTTACATAATAATAAACAAACCGATCCTAAAAAAAACTATTACTGCTACAATAACATCTCCCGGAAGTTACCGTTAAAACAAAAAAGGGTTTGGTGTTTGGGGAGAAAGTGAACAGGAACTCATTTTCATGGCCCTGGCATACTGGAGGAGGCACCAGTAATCAGTGAGCCCAGTACTGCTGAACCAACACACACACCTACACACACTGACAAGTGACAGGGCACTGGTTCATGCCGGCAAGAAGGAGGCCCCGCCGGATACGTGCCCCTAGAACAGGGCAGGTCCCTCCTCCTAAACACTAGCTCACACTGGAAAGGCAAATGGGTTCATTAATGCAATAAAAATATACCTATCTTATTGTTACTAAACATTTCATTTTTGGGGGCTAATGCAAGGCTCAATTTCCAATTTCTCTTTCAATTTCAACCCTTCCCCATATCACCATG